GTTAGCACGCGGTCGACTTGTGAACGTATCTTAAGAGCCTCACATGTAAAAGCGAAAGTGAAGGTCGCCGAAGACGCGTCTAGTGGAGATTCGAGATATGCTGATAGGTATACACTGAGCTCTCAAAGCCGGAACAGCGCGAGCGACACGGCGACCCAGCGTCACGATGCACGGCGCAGTGTTACAGGCCTAATAGGGCTACCACATTTTGTTTTCCATTTCATTGGAGAGAAAAGCCGTTACTGTTACCATACGGATGCTCTAGTATCACAATATTTTGAACTATTGCTCTACCTCAGCTCCATACACTTTTTATATAAACAACAACCCATGTCAGTCCCTGATAATGTTAGCTTTCTATAGTTAAAAGAATTTTTAAAATCGCTGAATTTTTTTTTTATTTTTTTTTTTACATATAATAAACGGAATATTTTGCTCTTTATAATATTAATTTAAATTATAAAATATTTTGACTATAAGAACAGTAGAATAAAATACATACAAGTTTTTTTAAATTATTGACATAATTCTACCAAGACGTCACAACAAAATCAGTGCATAATATATTAAATATTAAATAGAAAATTAAACTTTCCAACAAGAATCCAATGAACTTGACCTATGCTTTCTACGGCCCTATGTAAAGATACTAAGCTGTATATTAGAAATCTATGTACCTAAATTATTTATTTTAAGAAGCTGTATTGCTAATTTGGACATGACAACATGACGGACAAATGATTATTATATGATTATAGTGTTTTAAATTTCAACAAACGTTAGCATTAAATTTTCTGACTTACAAAGTTAACCTTCACCAATATTCAACAAAGCGATCGAAATGGACAGCACTAATTTCAAAACACAGACTCAATTGACTTTTGGATTATGATTACAAGATTTTTTTTTTCATGAACAAAAATCAACCTTGATTGTGGATGAAAAGTAAATTCATAAATTTTACAAATTAAAATGACAATCAAATCACCCTTTCTAAATTCAACTAAATTCATAGATTGACAAAATTCTCTTGTATTTATACCATATTTAGCAAGAGCACAAATTTTTTACATTTTTATGTTTTAGGGATGATAACCCTGAATAAATGGAGAGAGCTCGTCATTTACAAAGTAGTTGCAGGTTATTACAACACAAAACGAACGCCACATTCGTTCCGGGAAAACAAACGTTAGCGGACATCCGCGCCAGTAAATATGCCACAGGTCAATTTGTACTGTTTCTAATTGTACGGAAAGTGCTCCATTTATACAGTCTTAAATAAATATAAACTACATGTAAGTATAGCTAATGGCAGAATGAAGAAGGAATTATATAAAAGTTGAAATAAGGAAACTCCATCTGATTTATTTTTCTTTACTTAAAAAATTGTAAATAATTTTAACATAAATCTATTAGTATTCTCATAATTCAGATAATTTTAGCTAATAAATCATTAACTTATATATAAGTGATGTATTAGAAATATAATAACGTTTTTATTCAGTATTATTGCATATTTTAATATAATATATATTATAAATGAATTTGACAGTTTGAGGGATAACATAACCACAAAGGAAGAAATAATGACTGCAAATAGATACAAATATGAATTGAAGAAAAAACTCTCTAACTATAGTAAAAAAGAGACGTCTATAGAAATACCTACCATTAGTCTGCAAATAATACTTAACGAAATATTTCTTGCTGTGATATTTGTTGCTACCATCAATTTAAATTGTAGGTGTAAACTTCTTGTTCCTTATCTCATATTTGCGTCTATATTTTGTTATAGTATACCTTGAACCCATTCAAAAATCATACGATTTATCTTATCTTATTTATCAATCAGCTTACTTACATAATCGTATGAAAGCTACAATCCTATGATTTAATAAGCAACAAGTGTGACGCATTTTATCAATCGTAGTGAAATGTACACAATCTAGATGCATTGCTAATATCAAAGCGCGATAATCGACTTTCTTTTTACATATTCTAGTAGCTACGTATCGAAAATCTATATCATTGAGAATTAGTCGCACGTAATTTGTATTCTACTAAGTCGAAATCATTTCGTAATTGTAAGAATCTCTACACGCATTACGTTGCTTCTGTCCACGTGGAAAACACAAACATTTCTACAAGTATTTCGTAACTACTTGTTTTCGTAGATCCGTTCTCTTGAAAAACTCTTTTTTTTCGTTTCCGTAGGAATTTCAGAAATTATCTTATACTCACTTACAGCGTATCAATTTGATAAATTAAATAATAATAAATTTCTACTTTCATTAATAATTCTATATCAATTTCTGGTATTAATTTGTACAAACATATTTTCCATAGTCAGAGAAATGTCGAGTTTTTACATTTAGAACACAACAGTTGTAGTAAATGTATACTTTATATGATTATGTTCGAATACATACTAAGAATATAATACTCGTAAATCCGGACTTTTTACTTACTACAACAATGTATTAAGATTCTGTGTGGACATAATTTTTCAGGTTCATATTTCTGGCAATTTTGTAAAGGTTCAACCATTTTTCGAACGTGAGGTAGTCACGTTCGAGGTTGATTTATTTGGTCATTTCGGGTTCCTTACCTAAATGTATATAACTAAAAGCGATGTTTATGAATGAACGAATTATACAAAATCATTTTTCTTTAGTGCCATATACTAATCTAACAAAAAAATTTAAGGGCGATTTATCAATGAACGATAACATTTCATAATGTTATGAAATTTTGACAATACTTTGAAAATATTCACGCTAGTTTTAATACAGATAATGTGCACAATCTAAATTACAATATATCCATGCTAATTGTAACAAAAAGTTTACACATAAAATTCTAAATTTTGCAGTTTAGAATCTACCAAAAACGTGCTATTAAAATATTTATTTATTAGTGCGTAACATAAGAATGATTATTAAGAATTATCAAAACATCGTAATTAATTAAAATTTTTGAAAATTTTGTAAAAAAAAAAAAAAACAGAAAAATATTTTTCTAATAATTTGTAACGTACATTAAATATTCAATTTACACGTTTTTCTATAGTTGAAAGGTGTTATTTCCGACTAAAGTGGACGGGAATTAGAATTGAAAACGAAAGGAACTATCATGTGTCTGCTATTGTACGTGATGTGGGCACATCCGTGCATCCATTTAGCGGTTATTTCGCAACCTCACAACTTGAGAGAGAGCTTTGACAATGGCATCCGTTGTAGCGAGTTTATTATGTATATTAAATAAAAGCATACTTTAATTGTAGAACAAATATAATTATTTCATTCAAACATATTAAACTGTAAATATCTATATGATTTATTTAATTTTATAAAGAGGAAATATTTGCTTTTCTGTTTATTATGGATGAAGTCAGAAAATAATCATCTAATTTTAAAAATGTTTTCACCTATAGAAAGCAACATTATAATGAAGTAATATGAACTATATTTTATTTTCAATAACCCGTACGAAGCCGGGGCGGGTTCCTATTATATATATATATATATATATATAATGTGTTAAATAAATTAAAAAAAAAAGTAGTACCTTACATACCTGCTTCTTTATTGCCGACATTTTGCAGGAGGTACTGCAATTCACGTCGAAACGTCGGCAATAAAGAAGCAGGTATGTAAGAACTGTTATTTTTTACCTGCAAAGGCTTTCACATCATCACAAACAGACAAACAGACAATTGAATATATTCTATATATATATATATATATAATAAGAATATTTTTAATAATAACTTACACTTTAGTTTCTATAAAATTTTTCGCTCATTTCCTTTTAGAGATAACATTACAAATATATTTATTGTTAGTAGAAATTCTCATATAAAATTATATAAAAGAACATGATAATTTACTGCTACTTAAATAGAATTAGTCTTCAAGTTATCATCAATCAAAATGACTAGTAATGATGACAGTTAACCATTACTATATACAGTTAGTTATATACGATAGATTTCACCAAGTGTCATATTCTCTACGTGATCTTTTAGTGGTATAAGTTGGTCTGAAATAAGTATATCTTTAGAAATTAAAAATAATCAATCCCTGACTCTGTGACTTTAATTATAAAATACAATAAAAACTTTGAAACTAATTATTATATAAATGTAATGCGTATGATACTGACATGTATTACAATGGCAACAGTGGATATTTGTTTCTACTCGTATGTGCTCCATCAGGGATTATAGTTGTGGGCATAAATGACTGTAATTATGATCGGTCGATATAATTCGATCATATTAATACTCAAGTAAACTTGTTTCTAAGTATGTAAGAAAAGTCACGTTACAGAAAGTTGTTGCATCTTTTATTTTGTGGTACTCCCAACACCACAAGTTTGCGGTAAAGCTATTAGTGACTGAACACTGTATTCATTGTGAAAACCAAACATCAGTAATAGGTACTGTGCCGCGTTTGCACCGAACAATGGCAATTTAAGGAAATATTAACAGAAGACAGAGAAGGGTGAGTGGCGCGGTCGCGCGGCGTGCACGCAGCGGGCGCGGCCGCAAGCTGGACGCCGCCCGCGCGGGAGACAATAATATGCACGCGCGCTAAGTCGTGCATATTTTAAAAGCAACGTTTCGCAGCCTTCATTGAGAAATACGCGCCCTCATTCGTGATGTCGGTCGGCTGTCGTTGAGCAATGAAAACCTGATTTCCACACGAGAAATCAGATCGAATTTTCGTGTGTCAAACAATAACGTCCTCTAACGTATCCCTACAGCGCAAATGTCGCGAAGACGTATCCACGTTCACACTATTCATCTATGCAAATATACGATGAAAGTGACAATGCATGCTGACAGGTTTGACGACATCTGGCTGTTGTAATACATAACTATGTTGTTAGAAAGTCAATATAGACAAAAAGTTTTTGTAATATATCGAGTGCTAGCACTCGATTGCTAATGTTTCCAGTAAATTGTTTTTGAAATATAATACTGAAGAGGTACTTACAAAGCTATTCTGGCAATCATGTTAGCTGCGGGTGTCGGCGTTGCGTTCGCGGTGCGTGTAAGAAGCGGCGCGCGCGCCTGCCCGGCTCGCTTGGGCTGCTGGCTGCAACAGAGACCTCACGTCAACACACGCGCCTTTCCCAAACTCCACAGTTGCGACAGTGAAGCTCAACGAGGAAGCTGCATCGCACATTTAAATGCAACGCTAATGTCAGAGAGCGTTTAAATGCCAATAGCGACGACCTTTCGGTTTTGAACTGGGTTGCGCAAGCGAGGATCGCCGGTGATCGTGTGAGAAAGGCGAGTGCGTGTGGGGACGGTTGGTAGGGGTGGGACGCACCGGAGGGTGTGGGTAACACCGATGGCGACGCGCTGCCTTACGGCGACTAACCTCGCCGCGGCGCGTGCACCTCTTACTTATAGCCGCGCGCCCACCAGCCGCGCCGCCCAGCCGCGCGCCGCCGCCGCTGCGCTGCCTGCCACCATGCATGAACCCTCGGCTCCTTAAACCAACTTGATCCTATCTCTGGATGCAGCATGCATCAGGTCTGGTTTGATCGGTACTGGTAAACCAATCTCCAGATGATGTAATAAAATTATGTGTGACAACCTAAATATTCTGCACTAATAAATTTAAAAAAACTAAGTAAGTGTATTTAGGATAAAATTTCTTATCGATTTGTTATATAATACAAATTAAGCAAAAAAATACATACTTAGCGGTTCATTACCTATTAGGCATATATTAGACTTCAACGCGACATCATCACACAATCTTGTTTAATTCTTTTTATTTTTATTACTGTACATTTCAAGTTGTTTTTTATTTAACTTTTATTGCATTACATCTTCTACAAAAAATTCTATAATTATATTTTAGCGCATTAGTTACTAATTTATTTTTAAATTAAAACTGAATTACTGCATTCCATCTAAACAAATCGTTATTAGTTTAGTAATAAAATAATAATTTACTTCAATTTATTTCATTTATATTACTATATCAGAATAATATCATAAACACGCAACACTTTGATATGACTAATTTGTGTAATTGATACATACAAAGACAAAATACAGTGCGACTGATCAATTAATGCACACTATAACTACGAACTTGAAATTTTACACAAAGTACCATACGAATTGAGTTGTGTTCGGAAAATATATTTTAACAATGGTCTTTTCGAATTATATTTATTTCAGAAAGACATCCTGACTAGAGTTTGTTGCTAATATAGACTAAGACTCCCAAACCATTAGCTCAAAATAAAACTGGACCAAAGGCATTATCTGAACAACCTCTGAAGGAATACTAGTCGATAGTTTGAAATTGATATTGTTGGTTTGCTTATAAACTCTTTAGAAAAAAATATGGATTCTTGAGGTTAAATTTTAAATGAGTTAGCTTGTGGTTAAATTCTAATTGAGCTATGTTGCTTGTCCGGCATTACGGGACGACTTTGTGTCCGGTATCTCCGTGTACGGACAGATAATCTTCAAATTATGTATTTCCTATAAAATAAGTTAGTCCGTTGGTGTTGTGGGTGATTATGGGCGGCGGTAGTCACTTACTATCAGGTGAGCCGCATGCTCGTTTGCCCTCTGTATTGTGAAAAAAAAATTTAGGAAATCAACAAGAGTTTATGGCAAATATTTCTGAAGTACCACATATAATAATCATGACTATAAAAATGTAAATATAAAAACATAATAGTAATACTTATTAATTAGATAAAGCAGTTGAATCCCACTAAAATCAAATAACATTTGTCTTACTTCGCACTTCACCGACAAGCGGTATCCCATGATCGTATATTGATCGCTGCATGATACTACATTGTTGTCGCAATTAATTTTAAGTATAAGACATTGTGTTTAGTTAAGATAATAACTCTCTTATTCATAAAAATTAAAAACTTCTAGACACCTACTTTAACGATTACACTATTTTGTCACTTTCAAATTTGTAATTTAGCATCTAAGGATAAGACAAAACAGTTCAATAATTAAAATGGGTTTGAGAGATTTGACATTTTTATGAATAAGGGGGGGTAAAAGTTTTAAAGACTGTCCGGCGCTAGGTACCGTGCGGCGTTACAGGACTCCTCTCTGCCTGATTTTATGATTGTCTTATTGACATCTCGAATATTAATTTAAACATGTATGAAAAACAGGATAATATATGCCCATATCATGTACAATAGCAGACACATGATAGTTACTTTTGTTCTAATTTATAATTCCCGTCCACTTTAGTCGAATAGTCCTTTCAACCAAAGAAAACGTATAACTTGAATATTTAATCATTTTATCATTTTAAAAATTTTTAGGAAAACAATCATATTTTACTGGTTTTTTACAGGTTTTTAAATAATTATAATTCTAAATAATCATTCTTATGTTACGCACTAATAAATAAATAAGTAATACAAACAGTATATATATATATATATATATATATATATATATATATATATATATATATATATTATTACACCGTGTGGTCCCGGTATAGAATGTCCACCCATTTCTTTCCTGTGGGTGTCGTAAGAGTTGACTAAGGGAACTTAATGATTGAGGGATTGGCAGTAGCGTCCTTCTTAAAACAACATCAAAGCCTAAATGAGATTTCCAATCCGTCTGTCAAGTATGGCAACTACTGACAAAACTCTCAATGTTCATCAGTTAGCATTAACCGTTGATATGATGATACGATCCTTCTATATCTCGTAAATTATATAAAATTTCTGCTATTATTAATTAATTCGTTAAGGCGCGGCAAACATAATAGATTTCGTTCCATAAAAAAACACCGACGTCAAAATAACCAAACCAGTTATTTCAATTTTAAACTACTTACCTGATCTTGATATAATTTCTATTAGACCAACCGTATAGTATATCTTTTCAAATAAAAAAGCCTTTTCCAAATCAGTTTATAAATGACGATGTTTTGAGATAACAAATCTAAAAAAATACAACCGAATTGAGAAACTCCTTTTTGTAGTCGGTTAAAAAAAAAATAAATTCAGTTTCGTATTTATAATAACAATAGGAATTTTATAATTGGTATGTGTTTGTAGTTGTCGCTTTACATTGTGCGATAATATATCTAACAAAGTTTCTTTAAATCTGTTACGTCTACTGTTTTCGTCGTGTAGCCACTTGAATCATGTCGTTTGGGATGAGCGCTGAATGCCAAAATACAGGTTTCTGTTTATTTCGACAACAATTTCTTACCATATTGTGCTTATTGTAAAGTCAGCGTATAATAGTGAACAATTAAATTATGTACACATCGCACTTATGTAACGGATATTCCATTTTCTAATTGTTCTAGTGGATACCAAACACTATATACTATATTTAAAAATGTTATATATATATATATATATATATATATATATATATATATATATATATATATATATATATATATATATATATATATATATATATATAGAAACATTTATATATTATCCGCTGATGGAGACTGTTGTGAAGAGTGCATGAAAAATATTTGTGAAGAAGTTAAAGTTCAATAGAAATGTCTATTTTAAATTTCAATAGAATTTCAGCCTTTTACTACCATTCATTACTTAATATAGTCTTTTCCATAAAATGCTACAACAAGCATTTCTATATAAGTAGAAGGCCACTTTAAATAATATTAATAAAAGAATAGGCTCCATTAGTTTTAGATTACAATATTAGTTTAAGTAGTAAAAAGCATGTAATACGAGTATAACTATAAATTAGGGCATAACTAAATTGTTTATTTTTTATTTCTAACATAGAACTCTAATTTTATCCTGTCATTGTCAAAATACTATTTGTATGATCGATTTTCTTAATTATTAAATAATGTTTTCCTTTAAGTTGTCGAAATACCAACTTCCGAGAATCGTAACACAAAAATCACACAAATACAAATAATGTTTCTTGCAACTGTATGAAGTGATTCACCACCACGAGTCGACCGGCGACCACAGGAGGTCGTTACGTTTACAAGGTTATCCCCTTTTCCAGATCATTGTCCTGGCATACCTTTGGTTGTAGTAGGTACTGTTTATTTTTACTTTTCTCTAAAATCTTTCGTAAAATTCATAATTTTCATTCAAAATTTTATAAAGCACTAAGTTTATGTATAAAAATATGAGCCTTAAAAAATCTACTTTCAATTGCATAATAAATATCAAATTAGTTATAAAACGAAATATATAAAATACATATTATATTATATATATTTGACCTTGAGAAAACATTCAACAAACACAGATTATTTCGAACTTACCTTGAAGAATTTGTTGTTTTAAGTTCATTGTGATAATAATGGTACATACTTTTACTCATTTCATTCATTCTTATCAGCCGTTAATTATCCACTTTTGAACACAGGCCTCCCTCTATTGAGGGGTTTTACCAGTAGTTGCCACGCTTGGTAAGCGAGTTGGCAACCGAAGTTAGGCTTTTGGTCATGTTTTAAGAGGGACGCTGCTACCCATCTCTCGGCCAATACATACCGACATTTATAAGTCGTATACCATTTATACTTTTTTTTATAACACAGGGGGCAAACGAGCATTTCGCTCACCTGATGATAAGTGACTATCACCGCCCATGCTCACCCGCAACACGAGAGGCATGAGGCATTGCAGGTATGCTGCCGGCCTTTTAAAAAGGAATTGAAAATTGAAAGTTATGATGTCGTATCACTTCAGAAATACTGCAGCTTGAAATCAATGCCTTGAAAAACACATGGTGGAGAACCGGTACTCATCCAGATGGTTAGAATGTAACTTATGTTGGCGGGTTATTCGATGGTGAAAATCAGCAGCAGAAATCAATTCGAACAATTCCTTAGGGTACTCCCCGTGATAAATGATAATATAATTTTTTTATAGGTATCAAACTAACTTCACAAATTACAATTTATCAATGGGAAACTTTGTACAAAAGTGGTCTGCTTGGGTACCGCTATCACATTCGTTTTTTCTGTCGTGAAGTATTTGTGTATGTGGGATATGGCAATAAAATTACAGAGTACAGAACCATAACACCATAATTCTCAGAAATGACAACACATAAAAGGTAACATAGGTGATACAGTAAACTCCGGTCAGGTCATGGTGCCATTCTTGTTTATAAGTGACGGTTACCACTTTCCATCAGATAGCCCATCAGTTTCGTAGCCATCCTAAGTGGTATAAAAAAATTAATTAAAATATTACCCTGTCCTGTGAATTATGTCAATAAAGAGTAATTCTTATTATACACAAAGGAATATTATTTTAGTTCCTATTATCTAGTAATTATTAAAAGAAATGTGGTCGCGGTAATAATATCAAACGGAGAAGTGTGATATATTTAATTTTTTTCATGTATAATGAATTATGTAAGAGGACATCAACTAAGTTAAATACCTCTATATTTTAAGTAACCGTAAAAAGCCAGTGTACTGGTTCTAACGGCAGGGTTCCATTGAGGTGAAGATAAAGCCAGATCAGTCAATCAACACCAATTTTCAATTATGTTTTCCAAGGTGACCATCTGGGGGTCGCGCTGATTGCTCGCAATAGAGGCATTAGGTCTTATTACTAACAATGTAAAAACTGCCATGAAGAATTTTAATAAGAGCAATAGAATTCAAATATATATATATTTTTTTGTATTTTTATGTCTGTCTGCATGTTTCAATACCACGCAAAAATTACTGCGCCAATTTGGATGCAATTTTGATAGTTCTGACTCTAAAGATCTAACTTAACATCTAGTGTATGTTTTATCTTGATACACCTACAAGAAATGGTAACTTGCTTCTTAAAACTACAGGTACGAAGTAAGAAGCGGGCGAACTAATTTTAAATATTTATATTGTATAATTTTTTTGCAATCTGATTACTGAGGAGTAATCTCAGAGATTACTCCTCAGTAAAAATAAAAACTACAAAGCTATACCTATAGGGTAACAAAAATAGTTGGACCATTATTAGTGAATGTGCAACTTATAGCTACTTATTACTGCTTCTGATGCGTTAGCAAGTAAACTTGTCAAGTTATAACGTCACTTATTCAATCGTCTCTACCCAATACTGCCAAAGTTCAAACACCTGGATTGAACAACAAGGAAATATCCCCACAAGCATACCTGACACGTATTTTATTAATCATGCTGCGTTCTTACGCATGACATCTGTTGTAGGTATTTTGTTTACAATTTAGTGTTGCGCTTGTATTTACATTATCGGAAAAGCGCTAAAGATGGATTAGCGGTTCAGCTTTTTTGTACCCAGTTTCTCGATTTTATTTCGCCCACCGCCCACTTTACCATTACGATTTTTTTCAAGTCTTCCATCTTAATCTATCGCGAATTTAAATCAGTTATTGCCATAATTAATTATATTTATGTTATCTATATTTATTATCTGTATTTTAAAGGCGTTACCTTCTCTTACCCTGTAATTTTCTCTAAATCTTCTACTGCCTCCTTAAAAATTTTAAACGCTTACAAGGGAGCGTTATCGCACATGCATTGATAAGTAAGTTTTCAATCATATCAGCCGTTAACTGTCCACTGCTGTCTGTTTTAGGGGGTTTTACCAGTAGTGGCCACACTTGGCAGGCGGATTGGCAACCGCAGTTAAGCTTTAGAGATGTTTTAAGAGGGACTTTAGTAGCCTCTTACGACACCCTAGGGAAAGAAAAGGGGTGGCCTATTCTATACCGGGATCACACGGCCGACATTATATACTATAGGTACTACTATATTATAATTTTCCCTACAATTTTTTTTTTGATTATATTATAATTAATAAATTTGTTATTTACACAGCAAAGATGCATCATAACATCAACATATAGATAATTGGATGTCTATTTTGGCTAGGTGGCCATAAAGCAAAGGACATAATGCAAATGTTCCAATATCAAAACGGGCATGCACAAACTAGTTAGACGTGAATTGGTCTCTTGACCTTGACTTTTGACGCGTCGACGTTGAATCATTAATATTTTTTTTAATGAGTAAGAATGGAGTGGTCCCCCGTCTGCATTATCGGTATACATTGACGGGCCATCAGTGAGAGATGATAGGTGAGAATGAAAGCAGATCCAGCGTGACAGCGTGGCAACTACTGGCAAAACCTCACTAGGTGGAGGATTATTTTCAACAGTGTACAGTTAAAGGCCGACATGATGATGATGATTATAAAACTAAAATTATAATAACTTTCACTTAAAATCAGAAAATTAGTTATTGGGCCTTACAATAAATATTTCGCTGTGATATTAAATTGAATGTTCTATTTTAGGAATAGGTTCTAAATAGGAATTTAAGTAGGGGCATAAATTTCTGATTCTCTTAATTCGAACCCATAAACGTCTTGACATGAAAAAAACATATTAAAAATGTTAAACCAGTTGGTGTAATATGACTATCTGATGAAATGTGGTAACTTTTGTCTATAAAATATAAGAAAACCAAGCATAATGTCCTTAATGCATAATGTTTAGCCATTACATTGTAAATACCTATCAAACTAATAAAATTATGCGCAATAAACTCTTTTCACTCTATCCCATTGTAGCATCATGGACAAGAGTATATGGTGGGATAATTTAAAATCCACTTTTTGTGTGCACTTGAAATGTCAAGTAAACAGATTTTTTAAAACCTGGCCTTTTTAATTTTATAGTACTGTCATTAGTAAAAAAAATATTAGTAATATTAATGGAAATTTGAAAATCTTACAAAATCAAAACAGCAGGTATTAGTCATAAAAAAAACTATTTAATTTTCCAATTTTTATTTACAATGCATAAAACGTAAGTAGCATTTATTGGTAAATACTTATAATCACAAACCATTCGTAATTCACTAATGTAATCAATTGATCGAACGTCCGATTTTGACATAGATTCTTTCAAAATAATCTAGTGTTATAAGTGTCCATAGATTAAGGTAACCATAAAACGGACTGTATGCTTGTTTGCCATTATAGTAATATAAAAAAAAATCGAAACTTACTATAAATCATCCAGATAAAAATATCATGATATCACAATACACTTACATCCAAATGCTTATTTATAAATTCAACTAAATATTTACAAATTTTGTTAATGATGTAACAAAAAACTAGTACTCTGAAGTCTCAAATAGACTTGGTAGGTACAAGGCAATGGTTATATAAAAATATTGTTAATTTTTTTTTTATACTTCATATTAAATTGTAAGAGGCAATAGATAGCCTTCTAACACAGCATGGTACATTATTGTACAATCAACTCAATGGTAATCAACTCCAATGTTCCATAAGACAAATTATATAGAATATTATTTAAACTAAACAAAACATTCTATAAAAGACATTTTCGGTTTTATTTTAGCCTTTTACAGACCATAAGATAAAAAATAGAAACTAATCACACTCGAACATATAAGAGGTCAATCACAACAACAGTTATTAATAATAGCACTCGCTAAAATAGACATTTTCGAAACTAGAAAAAAAAATTGAAGCAACCCCTGCTTAAAGTCGATTTTTCTAAGCCTCGAAAACCCTAAGTAAGACTATATTTAAGAATAATTTTTCCCTTGTTTATTTATGGAGATTTTTTATATATTATTATATATATATTATATTTATTATTTTTATATGACCGTGTCAAACCAAATGGCACGGAAATTAAAAACGTGTACAAAGATAAACATTACATGTAAAATTAAATAGGTACATAAGAGCAAAAGATTAGCTTTAAATTTTCTAGGTTTATTATTTTGAAAAATATTGCCCACAATGGCTAACTGTTGTAATTTTAATAATGAATAAAATACGTAAGCATCAATCAATTTTTATTATTGCTTCCTTCTTTCTTTTTATTACATTGATTTCCATAAAAAATATATTATACTATTTTGAATCACCATGTTCCCATATTTAGATTGGTTAATTGATAATCATGGAATAATCCATTTATAATAACTTATTTTGCAAAATATACAATTACATAGCAGTATATCATACAGACTAGATTGTTACATTAATATAAATTATTATTATACATTTGTAAGTATACTTCGATACAGATTTAAATCGTATATAATAATACTAAGAGTTCAGGGTATTTATCAAATTGAGAGAGACGAAATAAGATACAAATTATGAAATATTTCTAAATGTGATGTAGGTGTATTTTTACAACTATAATAGAGTAGCTACTCAGTTATATTGATATTATAAATTACATTAATATGGCTTGTTTGTGGTGAAAAAAAAAATGGCGACTGATTAACGTAATGACCGCATATAATCAAAACAATAAGAGTATTGTATTTTGGACTGAGTTAAGATGGAATTTAAACTATCAGGAGTTATTTCACTATCATATAATAATATATAGGATTATATGTTTAATCAAAAATAAAAATATTGCACAAACGTAGTGATCACACTAGATTAAACTATGTACTTAGTGACGAACGAATGATAATTGATGATTTGAATATAATCCGATATATGACAGTGTAATAAGTCCCTTATACACAGACATCATATTTTCTTATAATATTATTAAATATTATAAATCAGCTGTTAGTGATATAGAACGCTTATATAATTTAACGTTATGATAAAACGAAATAATTCCAAATATGGTTGGCAGTTTATTTTATGTAGCTATGTTGTAACTTCAGATAAATGTACGCACGCTCATTAATAACCAAGTGCGTGAAACACCATTATATTTCGCTTATTTGCTAAATAAAATTGTGTATGAAGTTACAAAAAGATGTAAACACAAGTTAATATTAAATAATTTACAGCTTTGTGTTTATAATGAAAGGAATGACATAGATACATCCAAACAAGCCGTTAATACTAACTGAATTATCCGTACACAAGAATATATAGTATTCTAAATCACAATGTTCGTTTATTTTCAAATATATAATATACAACATAAATTTAAGATCCAAATAAAGACAAAATGTAACTGAATGTATGCTTTATCTTTCTTCCCTTGTAGTGTCAGGATACATAAATTATACATCATTGGTACAATTTATCTTCATTTATTCCTTAAAATATACATTTCTGTTAGAAATATCACTTGTAGAAAAGTCTAAATTTTATACAAAAGACAATAAATTACGAAAATTATTTACAATAGCTGTAGTGAATCATATATAAATTTTGCATATTTTTTATACTTGGCATATTTACTAAGCAAACTTGGCAACACTTTTTTATTGAAAAAAACAACATGTACAATAAATAATGGAAATAAGAATACTTTTGTGTTAATTATATTAAGAATATTACTGTTTAATAATGTTTTTTGTCTGTCTTATTGTTAATATTTCCAAAAAATAATATCCACTTTGTTTATACTATTTATACAACATGTATAAAAGATTATACATTTGACTTTTTCTACTAGCGACATCGCTAATAAAAATGTGCTTTGTTAAGGTTGAAATATGTTATATATATACATAGACATTGGTAAAGAAGAATAAGATGCCAGATATCGCTGTACTGTTCGATCTCGTAGATGCGGTAGCGAAAACTAGGAATAGACTCATTTCCAACTTATCTAGATATTCAAATTCGCGTTAACCGTTTCTAAATTACGGCTGTATGTATTATATCGAACAAACATGAAGATTTTTTTGTATGTAATGCAAATAAATAAACATGGAAGACTTATTATATAGTTGAATTTTTGTACACAAACGCTGTAGACATTTTAATATTATTTTCCTTGCATTATTTTTGCATTCAATATTATTGTTAGAGATTTAACTTTTTTACTATAATTTTAAATTAATGCTTGATGAAAATAACAATTAAATATTATTGAACGATAACATATTGACAGTGGCTAAATAACTAGAAAATTATGTTATTACCATATATTAAATAATATAAGACAAAATTAAAAATGGTAATAAATTATCCCACTCTAGTAATAAAACGCAATAAGTTGCTTAATCACATAAAGGCAAGTTATTATATATAAAAAATAACTGATTTCGTGTTAGGTATATACTATGTCAGAGATCAATATTACGGAATTTCTTTTCTCATCAAATTTTTCTTTAAATAAATTTTAGCGGTAATGTGTACTTAAAGATTGAAAGGAGCTATAGAAAAATTGGTCACTTGTGCATTTTCCACTAATATTATAGGTATATATGAACTATAATAACTTTATTTGTATTATCGCACGAAATTTATAGATAAGTGATTTTATATATTTCTGAATGATTATAAAAAGAAGCCCATAGCCAACTAACGTTAATTATGCAATGTAAATTTTCATTATTCTATTATTGCAAATATAAGAATTTGTTAAAAAAAAATAGCTTTACTTAGACTTAGTAGTTTTTTCTATAGTATTTATGGCTTGGTTGCTTAATGGCATATTATAGATTATATTAGTGTGATTGATTGATATTTGTGTGATGTTTTAGAAGAATAATCATTCAAAAATATTTAAAATAGTTTCTTGAGGAAAAATTACACGTAATTTATATGATGCCAGTACGATGTAAACACTCAATATAATAAAAGAACAACAATCCCAATTTTTTTAATGAATTCGATGTTATTTTTTTAATACATATATTATTGCTCAATCATAGAAACTTTTATTCTACTAGTATTTGCATACAGATTGAAAATCAAATTTCAAGACTTGATAGCCAGATTGATATCATTTTTACCTAATATGATCACTATTTAAGATTTTCATGTGGCATTGATGCCAATATGACTTGTTTTTAATAATAGCGAGCTTTGCTCATCGATAGCACATTATACCAGTTTGCTACTTAATTTATACTAATCATACTATCATTACAATAATCACATATAGAACACACGACATGGAAGCATGTAAGAACAATAATATCGTATGTTCTTAAGGCGCGAAATAAAAATACGAAAACAAATTATGACTAAGAAAGAATAATATATTTTCTAATCCTTAACAATTATCTATTTGAAAGTTTTGAAAAATCAAGTTATAAATACAAAAAGAAAGAGAAAAACAAAGACACAAATTTGTATAGTATTAAAAAAAATACATAATGAAATAACATGAAATTCATTCATATCACTTCGTAAATTGTATATAACTATAACATAAAACATATTTCCTTTTTGTATTCTAATAAAAAAAAAAACTTGTTCTCCTTTAAATCACCATATAGCCGTTATCCCGTACGACTATTACTAATTTGAAGTTTGTTTTCTTAAACCAATTATATTATTAAAAAAATAATCTTCAAAGTTATCAATTATTAATACTAAGTACGAACAACAATCTAAATATTGCTTTATAATCAAAGCCATTTAATGAAATTAAGGGAATATCATAGCATTATGCTTAAGAACATACAATATTAACTAAATATGGTAATCAAAATTTTACTAATCATATCATTAATTCCTGCGAGGTTAACGAAAGTATCTCACTTTTCTATTAGCCATAATATACAAATCAATACCATTATAGCGGGAAAAATGATAATAAATATAAATGGTTAATTGTAATGCGTGTAGTAATTCAAAACCTAATGACAGTATTCACGAAATTCATAAACAACTTTCTCTAAGGAGAAAATCCCAATTATTCACAAAAACCTCTAACATTTACGAACAATATACCATTATTTTAACCATTAAACTGTCTTTTTCTTTAAAGATAAATTCTTAATACATAAGATAAATGACAACACAGTTTAAGAGTTAAAATAAGTTTATAAGAAATTGTAGTTTTCATAAATAAAGGAGTAAATCTTAAATTAATTTATGTACCTTTCATAATAAATTGATCACATGACAGCACGATTGATATCTATTAAAAGTACAAAAAATATTTTAAGTTTTCGACTATTCTTCTTAAAAAAGTTGTAGTTTCGTGAATTCATAAACCCATTACGAGTAAGCATTTAGTAATATGGTTAGCGAACGACTTATTAATTTAATATTTAATGGAACATATAATATTATACAAAATTATAAATAACAAAACAAAAAGATTATTAACACTCCAATCTTATGACATCGTTGATCATGTGATTGCGTATGTAAAAGATATGGTAATTATATAGATAGTTATATATTTTAGGAGTGGCTAACAATATAACAATATATAAGGCTCTTCGCATAAAACATCACAGTATAAACTGTGCCACCTATAGGTACACTCATACGTCGCCACTCCTGAGGACTAAGGTTTTACGTCTCTTTTCTTATATTGCACTAACTGTATTACTTCGCCAAATTTATAATTAAAGTAAAAATATATTACATTAAAATTGAATTTAATGTTATATTGTAAAAAAGAAATATAATAAATCACATATTTTGTAGATCTGACAGATTTATTGAGTATTTCTTGATACCGGGTATTAGCTACTTAATTAATTATGCAAATTATATGAAGCAATAACTATAGTGTACATATTTAACATTCTAATTATTATGAGATGGTCATATCAATATATTCGTGAACTATACACCTATAAATATATGGATTAACTTGAAAACATTATTGTTTTTAATTATAATAATATTGGAATTGAGATTTAAAAGCTGACTTTTTATTTTGACTTGACTTTTGTGTTATTTACAAAATAGCGTAGAAAAAAAAAATAGGCAAAGGAAAGAAGTAAGCCTTAACGAAGTTTTATAGTATAGTGCACAAAATTATTGATATGTGAGATCAGTTATAAAATTAACTAATATGCGCCGATACCTAATATATATAGTAGGTACGTATTTAGATATTGGGGAACTGTTAAATTTATAAAGTGCGCTTAACTTTATATTATCTATTTTAATATAATTCAAGCTACTTCTTATTAATGAAAATAATAATTCAAGTTGTTAAAGGAATAAACTTGTAAACAATCGTTAATAATTTATAACAAAAATTATCGTTTACGTGTCGAGATTGTAAAATCACATTTTCCAGTACAGTTATAACGAGAAGTATCAGAATAATAAAAAATAATAAACATTTGCCTTCAATTTCTTTTTTTATTACACATAAGGTGGTTTTTATTCTAAAAGGTAAAATCACCGTTTCTAATTGTGGCTATTGCTTAATATTTTTTTTTAACGGGGCTGGTTTGTATACGGAATCGTTAATCATTAATGTACGAAAATTTATCCTTATAAAACTACAAAACCTGGAGTGGCAATAAATATATTTAAAAGTGATCTTTATAATGTGATATTAAATTATCGAAAAGTATCACATTTTTTTTTTACTTTTGCCACTCCAAAAGCTTGCTTTCTACTAGATGTTCTAGTGATGTGCCTGCACAATGTACTTGATTGTAAGCAAAATTTAAATTTATCGTTATTATTTACTTTAATTTTTATGTCTTCGTAGACCTATCATTAATATGGCAGTGTGATGAAAGTTAATTTCAAAATTATACATTTTCAATTAGCATTTTTATGTTTTATTTTTACTTAATATAATGTAATACAAAAAAAAATACGGCGGGCACAAATATTCGGCAATCATTAGCCTCTAAGTTATACTTAAATACATTCACATTTCAATAGTCCCTTATATTTTTTGATTGTGTGACAAAACGTCAATTAAGTCGTTTAGAATACAAAAATATAAGGACTTTGTTTATCTAATATATTGTGATGATTGCGCTTATATTAGAGCATATACAATAGATGTCATTTAGCAGATACTGTCTATCGAATCAAGATCCTAAAACAAGGAAACCGTTCCTAATATATTGCGATGATTGCGCTTGTGTTAGAGCATATATAATAGGAGATGCCATTTAGTGGATACTGTCTATTGAATCAAGATCCTAAAACGAGGAAACCATTTCTAATATATAGTAATGATTGCGCTTATGTTAGAGCATATACAATAGATGTCATTTAGCAGATACTGTCTATCGAATCAAGATCCTAAAACAAGGAAACCGTTCCTAATATATTGCGATGATTGCGCTTGTGTTAGAGCATATACAATAGGAGTTGTCATTTAGCGGATACTGTCTGTCGAATCAAAATCCTAAAACAAGGAAACCGTTCCTAATATATTGTGGTGATTGCGCTTATATTAGAGCATATACAATAGGAGATGTCATTTAGCGGATACTGTCTATCGAATCAAGATCCTAAAACGAGGAAACCGTTCCTAATATATTGTGATGATTGCGCTTATGTTAGAGCATATACAATAGAAAATGCCATTTAGCGGATACTGTCTATCGAATCAAGATCCTAAAACGAGGAAACCATTACTAATATATAGTGATGATTGCGCTTATGTTAGAGCATATACAATAGATGTCATTTAGCGGATACTGTCTATCGAATCAAGATCCTAAAACGAGGAAACCGTTTCTAATATATTGCGATGATTGTGCTTGTGTTAGAGCATATACAATAGGAGTTGTCATTTAGCGGATACTGTCTGTCGAATCAAAATCCTAAAACGAGGAAACCGTTCCTAATATATTGTGATGATTGCGCTTATGTTAGAGCATATACAATAGGAGATATCATTTAGCGGTCACTGTCTGTCGAATCAAAATCCTACAAAAAGGAAACCGTTAAGAAATACATAGTGCACTATTTGTTTATTTTCACTATTATTTGTATAGAAATTGTAAAGATATTTTGACATTAGCTTAGTGGATTGCAAGTGAATATGCATATTTGTATCGTATCACAAATTACACTTCACAAAAGATAAATTTAATAACAAAATAACTACTTTTTTTATTTGCTATTCAGTGGTAGACCAGTAGTTTATATATTGTGATGTGGATGTATAATATAATAATACAAATAATTTCTACTGTACTAGCAATACTGTAACATGAAAATATATGTAGCCACCTTAAATTGTAAACAAAAATAACACAAAATACTACTGATGATGCTCTAAAATCCCATCATACGTAACTACTAATTTATGTATCTTATACGTAACTACCAATTTATGCGTAGACAACCATTAAAAACATATTATCTCATTAATTTAGTTCGAGTAGCTTCAAAACTACACATCCTATTGTAAATCTCTATATTCAAGTATAACTGTTAAAATTAATTTTAGAAAAATATTAATACCTTTCTGATGTGATATAAGCAAACATCTGAACTATATCAAATACTATAATCCAATCTGATACTATTTAATCACACTAAACATTGTAAAATGCCGATGCTACGCCGAATTCTGTTTGTACTATTTGTTTATTTTAAAGCCTCTCTATACAAGAGGCAAATAAATCTACCGACAGCAACAATGCCATTAGCATACGCACAAGAAATAACAAGACTCGGGATATTGCTGTCCTGTTCTATCTTATGCACACGATAGTGACAACATACTTATCGATAGATATCGTATTTATTGTATATCACTTATCTAGGAGACCCGATCAATGTCTAAAGCAAGTGGACGAATAATAAATAAATCAAAACCTATACAAACAGCCATAGGGAAATTAGAATGCAATCATATTGCAAGCGTACTGTATACTATGCTAGAGTAACATCAATATTATATTACTGTTTACTTTCTATGTACTGAATTATGTACTGCGTTAAAATTAGTACGTGAATTTTGTTTTTATCAAAATATTATTAGCAATATCTAAAAACAAAAATTAACCTCCAAGGAGCAGCTGTCACAAAGATTTTCTATTAGTGTATTATATAAAAATGTAGTAAATGTGGCAACATTAAAATTACGTGAAAAAATTACGACCTATTAAAGATTTACATTGAAAAATATAGCTAAATTATTACTCGTTACTAATATATACATATACGCTTATCACACACGCAACTGGAACTACTTGTGCAGAAAACAGCCATTGAGATGTCCATAAGGGATGATGGTTTTCTGCGTATCTAGCTCCAACTTATCATTTATTTTGTCAAAATATTAAATCTAATGAAATACCTGTACAGTGTCATTATACAAATATTAGATTGCACATTACACAAGTCAAACCTGTATTAATTGGTGCAAAAAATATTATTAGTCTGGTAATATAAACAAAAATAATATTATCTCTGATTGCTAATTAAATCAAATGTAACGAACACATAAATATCAATTTGCTCAGTTGATAGTACTATTGAGCAAATGTTGAGAACAACAATTAAACATAAAAAAAATCATTTGGTGTATAAAATGTAAAATTAAATACCAGTATAAATTTCTATTGTATTCCCACAAAGTTATTGCTTATGATTAAAAATAAAATATTGTGATGCTATATTATAAACTTTCAATCAAGAAATCTTTGGGCGCGTTAATGGGCGACTTTTTTAATTAGTTATAAATACATAAGGAATCGAATAAAAATAGAATATAGCTATAATCCAAATGGATTTGCCATTCGTAATTTTTTTTATATATATAAATTACATCGTCCGATACTATTTTTTATGTATTTTCAATTAACAAGATCAGTAAAAATAAAAGATACATATTGGTTAATAAATAAAAATATTGGTAATTTACATCCCATTATATATATTTTTAATTTTTTTTATTTTTTTATTTTTAATAGAATTGTCTTCACTAACGACTACACGAAAATTTATAACTAAATGTGCGTTACATTTCATATACTGATGAAAACGCGATGAGATACGCTAAACTTAAGATATTTATATAAAATAAAGGTACTTGTGTGTATCTACCCCGCATATATATAACCTCATTCACTGACAAGTCAAATTTTAATCTACATACATAAATCTTTAATTATATAATCACAAAAAAATATATAAATTAATCAAGTAATTAATACTTGACTAAATTATACTATTATTTTTTTATAATTGGTGTATTATGTAAACAATCTTTGCATATAATTATTTATAAAAATAACAGTGCATTAAATATACAAATAACTAGAATAAAAAGGTTTTTGTGATAAGTGATTATGCATTTTTTGCCTGTTTTATTTTTTATGACTAATTTCGGAAAAATATATGCAAAGCTGTTTAATAATTATATCAAGTATAAAAAGACACATTACAGTTACATGGCTGACTGCAAATAGAAGCATTGTCACATATTATAAAACAAAAAAAAATTAACACTTCTGTTAAATTGTCAATTAACAAAAAAATATAAAAATACATCTTCTTCATAGTGAAACAAATTATAAATTGCAAATTATTAAGTAAAAAAAATGTGCTTTATAATGCAGTCGACCAATCCTGCTACAAATAGTAACTTCAGCAAATTCTGATTCATTCCATTTTCGAAAACCGTTGTCAGTGAATATCCAAACTGTGTGAGTAACAGCAACATGCAATCGTACTTTCTTGGCGTAAATATCAGCCATTTTTAAACGACATTAGTATTATTCCGAAATTATATCAGATTAGCTACCATAATACATCAATACAATCAATATAAAAATACTGTACAATCTAAATCCAGCTCTAGACTATATTATTAAATTTTAACTTAACCCTTTGTAAGGGCTATTGGCAACACAGATATGCGATAAGAAATTTATTTAGCAAGTTACAACAGATACTTCTATCAGTAACAACAACAACCATCCAAAAAAAAAGTATTTTTTGTTTAGACTTATAAGGAAATCCTGGCCAATTTTAAAACACTATTTGCTTCGATTTTAAAGGTGAATCTAGGTGGCAGTGATCAATTAATAGGTATGAAAATAGTAAAGCCCTAAATTTACTATAACAACGGTTTATAAAGTGGATCCCATGAATCTGTCATTCTATAGTCCCAATCAAAATTAACTGTAAAATCGATTATGAACATTTTTGAAGAAAATTACTTTTAAAGCAACATAGTTAATAAACATGTAAGATATTTTTGAGCAATTTCACAGCAAAATATCTTTTATTTGTTACCATTTATATTACACCTAATTATAATAGAAAATATTACAATTTTTGAGAGAGAAAAAAAAACTATTCCATGGCTTTAAAATTTTTAGACTAGTACTAGGAGATCTGCAAAGTGACGAACAATATGTTTCGAAAAATTTTATAAACATTTGTATCTTTTTCGCATATAAGTTGCATTTTGGTTTTAGTATTTTTTTTTTTCCTAAGAGCTAAATTTTTACTAATCCTACTGTAGCGTAATTAATACATGGCTTTATAAAACGTCAAGAGAGCAAGATGCGTGTTTACCGTTCACTCTGACCGCTATACCCACACGGGGTGCTTTTCAGCGCGGGGCGAGACGGTCGACCAGTGTTATGGGTGGTGTAATAGCGGCGTGTCTTCACTGCTGGGCCACCGGCTCTCCTCTTGAACCCTCTCGCTGCAGTTTTTTGTGCAACACGCGGACACGTTTTGGCCAGCCTGTGTTTAATACTGTCATTATTTATTATCATTATATCAATTATTTATTATTATGGTCCAAAAATGAATTAATAAATGCATGGCCTTTGGTTTTGATCTCAATCAATTGTCGTCTGACTGAGTTGTCACTGCTCTTAAGTGAACCATCTTACTAATATACTAGGTAATAGTATCTGTACATGGGAGAAAAATTATCTGTCTATCCATATGTTCGTTCTGGGATTAAACAAAAACTATTATCAAACAAGATGGGGTTTTCACAGTTGTATCTCTGAACGTCTAGCTTAAAGTTTTTTATATATATTTTTATACAACTTAGAATGGCAAACAAGCTGACGGCCCACCTGATGGAAAGTGGTAATCGTCGCCTATAGACATGAGCAGTACCATGGAAATAACAGAGTATACTGTTTCGCCCATGATACCTCCCATGCGTTGCCATTCCTGAGGACTTAAAGTCTGGTATATGTTCTATCTTAATACGCTATCTACAAACTATTTCATCTCCCTGTCTTCTGTTTTTTTTTTTTAATCCATATGAAGTAGCAGGCAGAAAGCTAGTATAAATTAAAAAATAAAATTTTAATATTAACCTGTGACAGATGCAAGTCATACAAATGGAGTGTGCTGACAGACATGTCGCGGATGTTGTCGCAGGCGTCGGTGGGCTCGAGGCCGAGTGCACTCGCGCCGAGTGCCGAGCTGACGCCGGCGAGGCCGGACGTCTGCGGTTGCGAGCTGGACTGCATCGGCCCCGGCGACGGGGACTCGTCCTCGTCACTTGTTTCGTCCATGTCCTGTGAAATTTATTAGTATATCTTTTTATATTCATCTGGAAATTTTCTATGTATAATATGTATGTATTTACCAAAATAAAATATAGCTATCAATTGTCTAGTACCCATAATACAAGCTCTACTTAGTTTGGGACTAGATGTTATTAGACTCCTAGGAATATTTTTCTTAAATGAATGGAAAAACGACAATAAAATTTAAGTCCTTTATACAAACAAGGTAGAAACAACTGTTAAATTAGTATGGAAAGCTCTAAATTTTTTATCATTTTATGTCTCTTAGAAATTACCCTTAGGTACTGATCCCTGATGATTTTAAGTTCACCTATAATATACAAATCTTAGATTATATAGATAGTCTCCATACAAATGGTTCGAGAAAAGTGGGTCAACTTTTTCATAATGTTATGAGTGATTCCTTTATTAACTTCTACATTTATTTGGTTTTATAAATTTTGCACCTATTTAATGCGCAAACACTTGTTTTATTTAATAAATAATTAAATATGGATACGTTATGTGCGTAAGTATATAGAACATTAATGAAAAAAACGAGTCATCTAATTTGACAATTATCTAACAGAAAATCGACCCATTTTTTGAGGCTCAATACTCTATCTATATAAACTAAGATATAAACATTATTATCCTTGTGCTAGAAGCAAAGTAGGACTGCATAGTAGTACTAAGATGTCACCATCATCATTATACCAGCTGTTAACTGTCCTCTGCGTCTACGTCTCTCCCATGAGGGGTTTGCCACGTTTGACAGGTGAGTTTGTAACCATAGTTAGGCTTTTGATGATATTTTAAGGGAGGCGCTACATCCCTAGACCATTAAATTCCCTTTGCCGCGTCTTACGACACCCATGGGAAAGGAAACGGTGGCTCATTCTTTACCAGGACCACATGGCAAGGCTAGGATGTAACATGAACAAGTTTATACTCACGGGCAATTTGTAGCTAGGCCTTTGTTGTTGATAATACGACAGCACGGCCGGCAGTGGAGTATTAGCACCGAATATGCTCTGTTGTATATACGAGCCCAGCATAGTCTTGTTCTATGAAAACAGATATTTAATGTCACATGTAAATTTATATTGGTTACTTTATTTAAGGCTTGACAAATTTGTTATATTGGTCACTGGAATTTTAAAAAATTGCTATATTTTAACCCAATATCATACCACACCCCATCTGATAATTAGTAGGTAATAAAGTCCAAATATGAAGATCGCTACCACAGTAATTTGTACTATGTTGGCGATCGTCATGTTGACAGCTTGCAAGTATGCCACTTAAATACCACTTAATAGAGTATTAATTCTAGAAAGTTACACAAACAAGACAAATTAAACGCTTTAACACAAATACTCACAAGCGGATTGTTCACTGGCATCGCATGGTGCATGCTTTGCCTGAGAGAGCGAAGAAACTGTCTCTGGGCTGGTTCAGCAGGCTGCCAGCCAGGGTGCCGGCATGAGAAGGCCACTAGAGACAACTCGGTCTTGCCACCTTCGCCCTGATTGTACTGTGTATTCGCGCCCTTTGCTTTTCCTAACTTCCCGGCAGTCTGCCAGTCCGGATGTCCATGGCGTCGTATATCCAGCTAGAAGAATAAAAATTGCTTAGTAATCCAAAAAGATAGGGATTAATAACGAATTGTTAATAATTCTTGGTATATACTATATAGCATTTAAAAAAATATGTCTTATTTAAAGTATTTTTTTTAAACAATAATTACCTTAACTTATATTTATTTTAAACTATCGCCAGAGCATGGTTTTGCAATTTATTACAAAATAATTGATCTACTTATACAAAAGTTTATGTAGGATATATTATGAAATCCGTGTTAAAATCTGTTACGCACTATAGAAAAAGTAAGCAAAAAAACAGATACAGACAGCGACATTGTTTTATACTATTTAGTGATTCATAATCTATATCAATATAACATTTTTAGTCAACGTCAGATATGAAATAAGACTATAACGAAATAAGATATACAATGCAATAGACAAAAAATACTCTGCCTAAAAATAATACAAACTCATTTGATAGTGCAGTCATACTATTAAAATAAGAAAAGAAGCAATAACTTTTTATCATGTATTTATATTTTGTTGTTATAGCTATCTTTAATTGACTACATGTCAGTGTTGTTATCATGTTCATTCATTGTCAAAAATTACCGTTGCAAAAGGTCGATTTTTGATAACGTTAAAACCAGATAAAACTAGTAATACGCATATGATAGACATGGCTTTCGGATAAAAGAACAAAAACATACCTGCGCAAACGAGCATACATCGCCGATGCCGACAACATTAACTGTGAAGTTGCGATAAAAGTCAACAATGTCTAATGCGCGCCACTTCATCATATACAAGACAAAAGGAGATACCAGCGGGCTGAGAACTTCGAAGAGGATATACACCTGTACAACACAAACAACAATGATTAAACTATAATTAAATCGCAATTGTCAAAAAGTAATTGAGATTATATTTAAAAAAATGGCTAGATATAAGCAATCAAATCCAAATCCGTATATTTTGGAGTAAAATCACATGTGTCTGTCTGTGTCTGTGTGTATGACAAATTCCAAGAAAATGGTTAAGAATAAAAAAAAATTTTAGAGTATTTTGAAATAAATAATTATATAATAATAAAAACTGATATATTTTAACTAATCGTTTGAATATACCAGAGGGAGACTTTGTACAAAAGTCGATTGCTTGGGTACCTCTGTCCCATTCTTGTTTCTACCGTGAAGCAGTTGTGTTTGCATGGCTGTGTTTCGGTTTGAAGGGTGGGATATGGCGTGAATTTACAGGGTACAGAGGAATAACACCTGAGTCCTCAGGAATGACAACGCGTGGGGGGTATCATGGGCGAAATAGTGTACTCTGTTATGTCCATGGTACTGATCATGTCTATAGGCGACGGTTACCACTTGCCATCAGGTGGGCCATCAGCTTGTTTGCCATTCTAAGTTGTATAAAAAAAAAATCTAATCGTGAATTCGGCACGTCTAGGAATGTTTTCCAACTGTACAGTACGTGCTACAAATAACATTACTAAATCGACTTACAGCTCTAAACTGAAACAACTGTTGGAAGAGAGCAGCCACGTTTTTGGTGTGTGCACGGCCACGCCACGCGGCAGGGAGATAGTGTACATGTCCTAACACTTGTACGAACAACTCTTCGCCTCGTGCCGGGCCCGTACACCCTGCGCCCAGACGCTCCTCCTCGCCAATCAAAGCCCTATACCGAAACAAATAAATGATAAATAAAAACTTTTAAGACTTCAGAGATACATATAATATATCTGTTATATAATTAGTTATTATTTATATATTTATTAATTTACTATATACTATGTATGGTTATTTATATACGTATTGTATGTGGTTTATGTGTGTATATTTTTTGTAAGTATATTATTCTATATGCTTGTATGTTTATTTATCATAAATTGTTATCTCTTAAAATATTTATTTAATTTGCTATTTTCTTAAATCTGTGCACCGCCATTTGCTCTCTCTGTTTGGCGTGGTGGTTGACTGGTAGAGAATGCCATCAGGCATTAAGTCCGCCCTGTAGACATTTTTCAATGTGTGCAAAAGTATAAATAAATAAATATATTAAAGATAATATGATTATTTTCATACTAATATGATCAGTGTTAATATTTGTTTGTTTATTTATATATAACATAGACTACTTTTTATCCCAGTCAATCAATATACATCGGACCAAGTAGCGAAATACTGATATTTACTATATCACATTACGATCCAACTGCTCGGAAGGTTCGTCCCATTCCTAAAATAAGATCAAGCTCTACATGATACCCGTAAAAACCATCACAGTTAATTTTAGTTCATTCTATCACTCACCTATCATTTCCATTATCATATACTTAAAAAAAAAATCCAAATACTCTTGTTACATGTGCGTATAACGTTTGACGTAATTGAATTTGGATGAAACTGAAATCATATCGAATAGAAGTCAATGACATAATGGTTTTGGACTCTTTTGGCGCTTGTTCGATGTGACTCTAAATCGATCTCATCTAAAGTCAACGTGCTGATTTATTTTGTTACGTAACTTCAAATACATATAGTTAGCATTCATACAAAATTATAAAATTACAAAATTCAGCTATCGATTATAATAATCAAGCCGCAATCACGATTTTAAATTGGGTAATTAAAACCTCTGGGCTTGCATTTCTCCCCATAAGATATTATTTATATTGGTCTACTATTATTACACGTATTGGATTATATTTCAAATTTTCATTCCTTGCTAATAAATGATATTGATACATATAAAAACAATACAAGAAATGAGACGAAAACCCAACAACGGTCAGCCTCATCTAGAAAATTAATGTAATCAATAGATATTGTACAATATGACGTAAATGCGAAAAGCTACTTGATTTTTTAAAGGATTTTCATTACCTGGCTATAGCGACCACGCAGCCCAGTATAGTGATGATGGTAAGCACGTGTTCCACAGCAAGAACGTCCTCGTCGTACACAGAAAGCACCACCAGCACGCCGAGAACACTTGCCGCAACGAACACGACATTTCTGTAAAATTGTTTATTAATGAAACTTTTGAACAAGATAAGTTTATTTTCTTATCTTGTTCAAAAGTTACTAAATAATAAAAATATTTTTCGACACATACGTTGAAACAAAGTACGAGTATTTTGAATATCATTTTCTCATATATTATTCAGTAGTAAAATTTTCTGAACCCTTATTACTTTGTCCGCTGACCCGTCAGCCATTACAGCAATATAAAATATTGTAAATAAAACGTTGGATTTATTATTATATTTACATTTCATAGGAAGACGTAAAATATTGATAAATAATCTCTACGACTGTTATACTGTTATTATATTATAACACAAAAAAATATCCAAGTCTAAATGCACATATAATTGTAAAATCCCATAAATAAATAATATTCAATTTAAACATATACAATACAAAGGTAAACATCACACGCACATGTAAAAAATCGAAATTTTCTTCAAAAAATCGAATGTACATATCTTGCTTAGCAATTTAAATACACCACATATTTATATCTGAAATACAACCAGTATATTTAAAATGATATAAATATTTTGAGCCTCCCATAATAACAAACCGTATCCGGCTGCCAAATTAGTATGGCAGGCTTAAATTTTTTCATTACTGTGTTGTTTGGGATATGTGATGCGCAGAGAAGAGAATGTGGTAAAAAAGCAAATACGTATGAATATGAATGATAAATACAGAGGAAGGCCTAGAAAGAGATGGACGGACTGTAAGAAAGAAGACATGGCCAGAAAGGGAGTGACTAGTGAGAAGACTGTAAATAGAGGTGAATGGAAGAAGAGAACATTACGCTGAACCCAAAAAGGTATGGAGAAAGGCAGATAGAAGAAGTTTAGACTCTTGTCTTTTTTCACTAGTGGAACACTCCTTTAAAAATGCTAATTGTTTAAATTTAATCCTCCAGTATTTAGGTTTTATTAATTGTTTACAAAAACTTTAAAACATCAATGTAATATTAATACAAAATATATCAAAATAAAAAAAAGTAAAGCAAATCGATTGTCACAGGTTCAATAAATTAATTTATGCATTACTGTACTACTTAATAAAAGTTACAGCTCTAATTTTAGATTGACCTACTCGTATACTCACTACACGGGTCACTCTATACAATGTACGCACATAATGCAATGTACATTTGTAATGTAATAGCGTATTAAAAGGTCCTTATTTAGGTGTCGATTGTGGTGTTTTATCATGAAATGCAGAATTGTTAACAATTCCCAGATTACAATCTACATGCTGAAGGATTTAAAAATGGGACTTGTGCCAAAAAGAGGTTTATTTTTGTATAATTATAACTTCTTGAAAGGATGATAATGTTGATTCGATAAATTATTTAATAGAATGACAGTAATAAATAAAAGATATATATATATATATATATATATATATATATATATATATATATATATATATATATATATATATATAATATATTCAATTGTCTGTTTGTCTGTTTGTGATGATGTGAAAGCCTTTGCAGGTAAAAAATAACAGTTCTTACATACCTCCTTCTTTATTGCCGACGTTTCGACGTGAATTGCAGTACCTCCTGCAAAATGTCGGCAATAAAGAAGCAGGTATGTAAGGTACTACTTTTTTTTTTAATTTATTTAACACTTTATTGCACCAACATAACACGATTTGTTAAACAATTTTCAATACGTATAGTGTAGTACAAAAGGCGGTCTTATTGCTAAGCAATCTCTTCCAGACAACCTTTGGGTAGAAGGACTTTACCTGTAAAGGCTTATAAAGAAGCAGGTATGTAAGGCACTATTTTACCTGTAAAGGCTTATAAAGAAGCAGGTATGTAATGCACTATTTTACCTGTAAAAGCTTTCACATCGCGTTAAGTCCCGATTGTGTGTTTAAAATATGTGTAAACTATGGGAAAGTTTAAAATTAATAAATAAATTTATTTATTGCAAAGCAAAATCAATAACCGGAGAATGATTCGAGGATTTGTAGACATTTTTATTATAATTTATTAACAGGTTCGAAAATTTACCTCTCGACAAATTGATTCAATGATCGAAAATGGCTACCGAAAGATAGATTTTTCAAGATATTAATAATCTAGAATACCCAATTGTAGGGTTACGCAATTATAGTACATATAAAAGATTGTTTTAATATTATTATTCATATAAAGGAACTTATACAAGCAGGTATTAAAATTCTTTCAGTTACACAAGCCTAAATTAGATTTCAACATAATATCATCTAAACATCTTTGTATAATCTTTTTGAGTCATTAGTAATTCAGTAGAAATTTATTTGCGCACATTTAGTTTACTAACATTATAAATTCGAATTGTGAATTATGAGAATTGCTCATAACACAATTTCATAGTAATACTTATATTATCCGGTAGGTACTTATTGCAAATTAATAATAATTAAAATACCTCAACAACAACATAATCCAGATATGACTTGTTATTAAACAAAAAAAAAAAAAACAAATTGACTGTCATTAATAGGAAAACAATGATGCACTGACTTCGATTAGTAGGTACATCGTTGTATCCACATAAAGAAGACCTTAAAATATAAATATACTCTTTTGTAAACGTTTGCGTCGTAGAATTAATACTAATCAATTACCAATTGTGCTTTGTATTAAAGGTCATTAGTGTAATGATTTATTATATTATGCGAGTCAAAGATCCAGTTGATATTTGCTACTTAGTCACCAAAAAGTTAATCGTTATTGAGAAGGAAAAAAAAATAAATATAATATATATATATAGACAAGACTATCGAAAATTTAACATGTAAAGCTGGTAACTAGAGTGTATGAAATACTATTATGTAATTGTTATTTATTGAAAAGTATACAATTTAATATTATGAAATTCATAGGCAAAGACTGAACATCTCTCTAGTAGCATAATAGCATGAGGCTAATGGTTTATAATATAAAAGTAGCACAGAATATTATAGGAATCGCAGTAAATAAATGTCTATCCTAATTCCAGAATACATGCAGCAATATTCTTGCCAATATTAATAAAAATAAATCCAGAAGTCTTCTTCATATTTTATACAAATAATAACACATGGATATGACGAAGTTCTAAAATATCGGACTGTTATTTTGCTATGGTAAAATATTTTTCGGGAGTTTTTTATAATTTTATTTTTTCTTTGTATTTTTTCCGCAATTATTAAAACAAATTTCAACACCCCATAAATTATTCAATAACACAAACAATGATATGAAGTAATGTTAGTTCAACTTATAACACAAATATTGATATAAAATTATATTGTAAGTTGTTCTTGTTGCCTATTTGAATATAGAAAAATGGTTCACGCTTATCTCCAAAACAGCTACACTGACTTAAATGAAATCTGTTATGTTTAATTAAATTTATGAATGTAAATGGAATGGTAGCTCCACCAGCGCTATCAGTATATACTGACGGAGTAGTAGTGAAAGATGATAGATAAGGAAACATATCAGTTATCTGGGCATGACGAATTTTACAAGAATTAACAATAGATAGATAGATACTCTTTATTGTTTCCTCCAAAAGATTACAATAGTAAACTCCACGTGGAAGAGAACCTGATCTGGTATATTGTTAGCAATGGGATTTTTATACCCCATCATTAACAATACTTGGTCCCCTTGTAAATGTGTATTGTTTCCACCAACATAAAAGATAGGAAAGTTTTTATTGTGACAAGTAACCCTCAATATAACGAACCTTTTTGCCTATGTAACTTTGTGCTATTAATGTTGCTTTACCTGTCGGTAGCGATAGGAGGCAAAACAATGTTTGCCGGGTCGGCTAATATAGGCATAATCACAATTAAATCACAAGATTAATTTTAATATGGCCAGACACTTTTATCATTGACACATGCTGACATAGATCTATCTTGTATTAAGCTCTTTGTAGAAATAGATAATAAAAGATCTTACTTGGCGATAACAGTGGTTATGGGCGACGTGAAGCTGGCTAGGTATTTGGTGGCGGGTTTGTGCGCTCGGGTGAGCCGATCCCTCAACTCGTGCTCCAGCTCGTTGAAGTGGCGCAGCGTTACGCGCGCGTACAGCGACCACGTGCGCAGACCGAGCGAGCCCGGCGACCGCTTTATCAACTGACACAAAACCAAAACAGGCCATTCGGTCAAGGGCGCACATATACGACAATCGACGTTATATCGCATGTCATTGTCTCAACAGATGAGTAATGTGCATTGTCTGATTAGACTATTTGAATATTGCTAAGCAAAACGCTACTACGTACAAAAATAGGCTTACAAGGATATATAGATTATTAAAGTACTATATGGTCAAGTTGTTTGCTTCAGCGTATTCAAATACAATTTTAAAGGTTGAGATTTTAATGTACCGTAGTCGACATAACAATTTTGTTTCAAACAATATCAGATGCATCATCATAGTAAATATCATGAATTAATCTGTAGCTTATTGACCGACTCGCTCCTCGCTATAAATGATTTTAATATACATGACGAATAAATATAAATAATCCGAGTGAAACTCAGCACAACAATAAAAAACCAAAATGCCTTTACCTAATTATGCACCGATATTAAAAATAATATTGTAACATTAAAACATACTGAGATTTCTGTGGAAATTTTGAACTTATGAAGAGAATAAAATGGTGTAACATATTAATTCTGTTTAATATGTAATGATACCTATATTTTAAATATATTTTTTATAAAAAATTCGCTAAGAGAAAAACATTCTAGATCAAACATATAACATTTTTAACTAAATCTTTTAGCTGTACTATTCGAGACCTATCAATTTAACCTGAATATTTAATTTGCTTATGAAAATCAGGCTTATTAACTACAAGTGATAACAAGGTGCGACGTCTTTTCCGTATGTAAAAGGATAAACGCCGTACTTTTTTGTCAAATGTCAGATATAAACACACTATTACATGATGACAAAAATGCCCTTGTACGATGCTGGTGTATATCTGTAACCGTATATTAGATAATGTCACGACAATTAATTGATAGACATTAATAAACAACTTTAGTTGATGGATAAATGTATTTATTTATTTACGTGTTTTAACTGAACAAATAGATCGATATCTATTTATTAGTATTTACTTACACAATTAGTTGTTACTGAATATACAAAATTACTTTTTACTAAGATCGATTTAATTAAATTTTCGATTCTGCTATTAAATAAATATTCCTGAAATGGGTAGCATAATTATAAACAAAATACCAAAGAAAATACTTATGATGCTTAGTTAGTTGTCAGTTTAAAGGGTGGGTTTTGACATTGAAATTAGAGTGTGCAGAGGTAGAACATCATGGTTCTTAAAAAAAGCAATGCCTTAGGGATATCCTGGACATCACATTGGGATATACATTATATTGTTCATATCTATAGACGACAGTTGCCATATTACATCAGGTGGGTCGTCAGTTAGGTTATCATTCTAAGTATCTTAAAAAAAAAATACATTACTAACCTCAGCATAATTGAAGAAGAAATATAGAATCTGCCAGGCTTGTATAAGAGGCGCAAGTAGAAAATTTATAAGTGCTAACGCCATTATTTGTTTTTCAAGCTGTCGTGCTAAGACCATTCTTTTTGAGTGATCTTTGTAACATTCGCGAAGCTGCCAGCAATTCTCCCATGGGCTCCATGGACTGGCTAAAGAGAAATTAAATAAACATATAACTATTAACTCTGATATATTTTATAAAACAGCTAAACTAAATTAATAAGTTAAATAAAAATATATCAAACAGGTTAATCCAAAATAAATCACTTAAAAAAATGACATTTCCAAAATGGGCTCAACCATGTAAGTATGTAAAAGCATTTATATTTGATATTATTTTCATGTAATAACAAAAAATTGTCAAACAACTAATCATAAATAACTGTAACATCTGATTTACTTACTAAATAAAAGGAACTCCAAATTCCATTTCAAACCTCTAGATAAATAGTGAAAATTACCAATACAAGGCACATATACTTGAAGTGGGAGTAAATTTTTGTTCACCATCGCCACCATATAATTATCAAACCTGAAACAAAACATAATAACTCACCATACACAGTTACAGATAATTAATTATTTACATTTATATGTGAAAGAAATATTGCTGAGTGGTCCTAGCAAAAAATGGGCCACTCCTTCCTTCCCCGTGGATATCTTAAGAAGCAACTAAGGGAAATTAATGGTCGAGGGATGCCCAGCAGCGTCTGTCTTAAAATATTACTGTAAGCTAACTCTTGTTGCCAACCCGCCTGCCAAGCGCAACAACTACTGACAAAACCCCCTTTATGGAGAAAGCTTACGTTCAGCAATGTAATGACTGATACGATACGATATGTGAAGTATGTAGTTGTAACGGCCAATCGAAACAAAACGATAAAGCGATGGGAAAAAAAGAACTCCGCTTATGTAAGCGTAGTATGGGACGCTTGCTTAAGATGGGGTGACGACTTTAAAAGTGTATTAGAAAATCACTTAATGCCAGTGGTAATACTTTGTGGAGACCTATGTTCAGCAGTGGACGATGGATGGAGTACGTGGAAAGAAATAAGTCCTAACTAATAATAATGGAGTCTAAATAAATAAAGTTATAACAGTTTAATCTTTTCTATAAAGAAATCCGCCTTTAATATTAACAAATCAATGTGACTGGTTATAAAACGCGCAGCCTAAACCAGTTTGAAAGCGTGACATTTCGCACGGGAGTTCATTACACAGGGTGAAATTGACATGATTAGCATCCTTTTAAAAGAAAGTGTTCTACGAGTGAAAACGAAACAAAATGATTATTTTTTTCAAGGAATCAAAATTTGTAAGACGACATAAAATCCTTAACTTCCATATCTATTACTACAGTGTGTCCAACTGTCAAACTAGGATGAGACTTAAATTTTTTTGTCGTTTTTGATGTATATAGGTATCTAACTTTAGAAAAAGATGGCATGGACAATGAACAGTACTTTTAATAAATATCGGAAGAGTAATGAACTTTAAACATATTTTTATTCAAAATACTCCCAATAAGAACGTAACGCAATTATCTTATCTCTGTGTACATTAGACAAATCGGTAACTTGATACGATATTATATTTTTAATAAACAAAACACATCTATTGTCCATCTCAAATTATGATTTACAAGAAATATCTGGAAGCATTATCTTGTTCAAACAAAGAAAGCTTGTTTGAATGTACTCAACACGTAATACATGGCAACAGTTGACGACTACTATTATCTTTCTATTCTTATCCCAATTATTTATTTGGGGTCGGGACAATAAGTTGTTCTCTTCCATTCTTCTCTATTTGCAGTGATTTCCGCATTCACTCCCGTTTTGACCATCTTTTACAATCTTTTTAGCCCTTTTTCTGCCCTTATAGCTTTCCATATTCATACTTAACACGTTCCTAAATAGACGACTATATAGAGCGTAATAATATATTTACGCTTACATATGTACATGCTTTGAGGGAACAAAGAAAACTTAAGTAAGATAATATATTCAATCAATATACCTGAGTATTCTATGATAAATATCTAATTCGTTGATCTCTTTCTTGTGGACACACATGTGGTGTTCCGGTTGAGCTTCCCTCACCTTGTCCTGTATAGTAGACCAATTGACCCACGCTAAATCACTCTGAAACAAATGTATCAGCCGTGAAAAATATTAACTTCAAAATAAAAACCACTGTTACTATCATGGCTGGGCGGCTTCATACAGGCTTTATTTTGTAAGTTTTCTACGGCTTTGTTCGCCTGTTAAGTTAGAATCTAAACTACCAATATACAAAATTTTATTCAAACCTGTCCAGCCTCTTAAGCGTGATTGGGTAAAATACATACAAACATGTTGATAAACTTTCACATTTATAATAATAGGATTTTTCTCCCTAGGAATGAGAAAGAAGTATTGACAAATTGTTGTTTTACTCAAACACCGCACGGACTATTTGAATTAAAGCAATAACTACATGTGTTATTTTTAACCTACATACGTCATAGTTTAATTTATAACTCTAAGAAACATGCTAAGATAAATAGATGGCGGTGATAAGAGCGTTGAATGACCTAATACTTGAACTGCGTATATACATGTATATATGGACATATAACGCATGTCATTAATTACATAAGGACTATTTATAAAAAGTATGTAAGTGCATATGTTACATTTTACTGGATAATAAATTACCAAAGGGAGACTGTATCTACGTGGATGCCTCTATGACACACGTTTCTGATCGCGAAGCATCTGGTATTTGCGTGATAGTAGTTTGGTTTAAATAATGGAATATATAATAGAAGCGAAATTAAAAAGTTAAGCAGCGACGTATGAATAGTACTATATATTGTCACTGTATATTCTGTAATAAACATGATCCTAATGATGTTTGTAGGTGATAGTTACTACTTTCCATCAGGTGGGGAACGTCAGCTTGTTCACTGTTCCAAATTGCAAGAAAATAAATAATAAAAATAGAAAACACAATCACCAAATTAAAGACTGAATAGGTTATTATTTCTAAATTTATCGTGCAATAATGTCAATTAGTAATTGAACATAATGTAAAAATATTTTAATTTTTTTTTCTATAATATTAGTAACCTGTTAGCTGCATCACGCTATAATAAGTAGGGTATATATGATGGAAGCGTAATTATGACGAATATTTGATAGTTATGTAATACATGTACGTGTGTTATTATGAATTCTTCTTTACAAACTTACTTCTTTTATTTTGAGTGCATTATTGTAGAATAACTTTGTATCATAAGCGTAATATAAATGGTATATTGATAAAACTAATCTCATTAACCAAATGACTCCACAAATTACGATGACACACCACCTAAAACAAACATTTAAGTTAATAAAATTTTCTTATATTACTTGAAATGACATAAAGGTTAACAGCCTATCAGATAAAAAGTGGTAACTGTCGCGCATAGAAATGAACAGCCTCATGGGCATCACAAAATGTATATTTTTTATTCATCATGTACTGGACACAAGTCGCAGTTAATATATTATCATATCGAGTAAATATTGTAAGGAAAGAACAATGACAACATTGATATAATTCATTAAAACCAAAGTCTGTAAAAGTAAAGAAACTGAAAAATTACACACTTGTATAAAAATTCTGCAGCTATCCTACTTGTGTTTACGACCAAGTTTATCGATGTAAACTTGATCATAAACACACGTAGGTTACGACTACAAGCTATAATGGTTATTATAAAATTCGCTGTAAGAATAAAATTCGCAAATAACGCATATTTATACACGTTTTACTAAGTCGCATGCTATAGAAATATATACATAACGCATCTTATATTCAAATGTAATTAAATTCATAGTATATTAATAAATTAATTTCTAATTCAAGGATTACGCTCTTTGTGCAAGTTACGATTGACATATATAATTTATACATAATTGTTACAGATTGTTACATTTATTTGGCTTATAAATCATATTTGGCTTAAGGATGTAGATACATTAATTATTGTCACATAAATTTCCATTTACAAATAAACAAAAACAACATTATTTAGGTTTCTGTTAATAAACCTATTCCATATCATCACTGATTTGCATCTGTGATGATATGGAATAGGTTTTTTTAGAAGATTTTTTATACTACTAACCTTACCAAGTACCTATTATGATTATGATAAATAAATAAATAAATTTATTTTTCCTGAATAAATTTCCCCTTCCCTTCAGAATTTAGAAGAACATTAGCCATTAAGAATTCTATTTTAAATATTAAGTTTGTAAATAGTTTACAGATAGATACAAAATAATATGCTTATATTTACAACCAAGTTACAAGCCTACAATCATATAAGAGCCCCATTAAAACTAAAATCTCAAAAATTAACAAGGAATTGTCTATCATGATGAATTCGAGCCTCACATTATCCTCTCAGGAAATCATTATGTTTCATTCCTGGTGAATTATATACAATAGACCCTTTGACTTTTTCCCCTGCTATTATCTCTCACTTGTACAATCTAATACCACAGACAGGATTAGGACTCAATAGAGTCATTATTAATAATTATATATAATTATATATAATATAATTATTAATAAATAATCTATTAAAAAAAATAACAGCAAGTACATGTTACACCTCATTAATGCAAAGCAACATGCCAATTTAAAGAGCTTATTATATTTATAGTGAGTTTTAATGATCTTATAATGATGTATAATTAAACTATATACAAGTAATGCTTTATTTTACATATAAACATGATGACCACAAGCTATTGTGAAATCACGACATGTAGGCTTATCATGTTCATCTTATCATGCCAAAGATATAGCGGTGAAAGAATTTGCCAATTAATACCTTATAATAATTAGCTAATTCTTTCAACATTATTGATTAAGGTTTGCTAGCTAAATATATATTTTTGTATGGAAAGCTATTATTCAAGTTAAGACAATACAATTGACACATAAAAATTTATGACTTAAAATCTAAAGGTCATCATCAAATATATTTCTCGCTGGGAAACATTTTAATAGCAAAACTAACACTCCCACTAGTGGTAAACTCACTAAACTCTAATAGTTTAAATATAATATACTTAGTAAAAGGTAAACAATTTGACACTTAAGATGATACACATATCTGGGGAAAAGGAATTGTCAGTAATGGAATCAAACACACCCTGAAAACCATATAGGTTATTTCTCATTAAATTCGTCAAAATGAGCTAATTGTTTTGTTTTCATCCACATCTGTCATCTTTCACTGGTGCCCTGCAAGCATGTACCGATAGTGCAGACAGGGTAACAGTTCTATTATCACCCATTAAAAATGCATATACCTCGATCTATATAAAACTAAACCAAATCTTTTATTATGTTAGAAATTCTTTTAACAAGTAAAATGTACCTACTGGAGCATTTTAGTAATACCATACACAATGTTGTTTTTGTCAATCTTTTTAAATTTTCTGAGCATATTTAGGACTAGACATTGCAATGCAATGTATATGTAGCTGCATCTAAATCTTCTTAAGTACTATAGTGGATATTATACAAATGAACTTACCATTGCCATGTTATTCTATCCACGCAGATTGATGGTGGGTATATTACATCACTCAGTGTCAATTTTACAGTAACATTAATATTGGGATCATTTCTAAACAATTTAGGGTAATTTACACAGTATACTAAAAATGTGGAGAACCATACAATAAATATAAACTGTAATAATGAAAATAAATCTGACATTATCATTGGAAAAAATCCCCCACGTACATAGTATCTATACATTCTGGTAAAAAAGGAATCTAAATCATCTATGTGTGTCCATCCCCCTGAAAAAAAAAGAAATTATGATAAACAACAATTTTCTTAAATTATGAAACATCTTATTTATATACAATTTTTTTATGTATATTCTGGTATTTTTTATAGTTGATACAGTCAATAAACAATTAGCATGTATTTTTATAGGAATAAAAATGCATAATATAAACAAATAACCATATTAAAAAAGGTTTTCACATTCACTGATTATATGACAATATATAATATGACTTAATTGTTCATTTATTAAATTTAATTATTATTAATTGATCATTTCATTGTGTCTAAAATAAAAAAATGATATTAGATATTCCATAGATATACTGTAATTAACATAATAATATTAGTTTTCTGGACAAATAAACTAGAAAGACACTCAAATGAAAACCGGTGACAATGCAAGAAGATTACATTTAGATTTGACAAAGTTCCAAAAATATGTTGTGGTATTATTATGCCAAATAGAAAAGAGCAAAATAAATCCATGTGGCCAGAAAAAAAGTAATTACATTAGAAACTCCACTTCTGAAAATGAAGCAAATGAAAACAATTTCTAACAATTAATATTTTGGAAAGAACAATATGAGAACTGTAAAACTACAGAACAATGAAATCTCTTAAAAAGTACCTTTTGTGTTTAGTAGCTGAATACATTTGACAGTTCCAAAAATACCATGCTGTTATTATGCCAAACAGAAATGAGCAAAACATATCCATATGGCTATAAAATAATTACATTGACTTTCTAATTTAGTTAGGTAATGAGGGAATAAATTGAATGCTGATATTTTAAACAGAACAATGTAATAACTGTAAATATTATGCAGAACAAAGAGCTCTCATAATGGAAAACATGCCTATGGTTTTTGGCAGTTTACTACATTTCATAAAGTTCCAAAAATATGTAGTGTTATTTACACCAAATAAAAGAGTACCTATATGTTTATATGTCCAAAAAACAAACTATGGAGTTCCCTAGTGTAAGTAAATTTTGAGAGAAGTCAACAGAACTACCTCTGGTAGATACTGTAGATAGAACAATATGAGAATTGTAAATATATACAGAACAAAGAGCTGTCAAGATGTACAACATACCTTTGGTTTTTGGTACTTTGTGAATTATAACATTGGTGGAATCTTCATGCTCGTGATCCATCGTGATCAAGGTTGGCGCAGTAGTCGTGCTTTCTGCCAGGCTAGCAAGTGGCGGTGTTAATTCGTTGTTTAGTGCGCTATACATCACATCACGTCTACCATAATAAGCCATTTTAAAGTAATTTCTGGTACCTATTTCTGAGTTCTACGTCTAATTCCACTTTACAGAGGCCACTTACTATCTTTACATTCTTGACTTTGTCCCAGAAACGTAATAACTTTAGAAAACAAAGTTGTAAGAAACACACAAAGGACTAGCAATTCTTTAAATTTTGCCCTAGTGAAGTGAGATTCGATTTAAAATATTAGACCATTATTATTAAATGAGCAATAAAAGTTCAAGGATACAAAGAATTTTGTTAGGTCTAGTATATTGTGTAGATTGAATACACTTCACAAATGAAATGACGAAAATAAACCACTGAATGACAGATTCACAACAATTTTCTCAAACACATTTCCTTTTCACGCAGAAAACAAATAAGTCTAAACTAAAAATGTTTTAACCACAGATAAGCGTAGCAATTATTTCATTCTAGAAACAGCGTACATGGTCTTGTAAAAGTGATGGTCAATCCACAACTAAATTCAGTCTCCTGATTATATATTTTACAAACCATTTGCGATAAACGAAATTACTTAACATGTAGTACAAAAACTAAAAACCTCTATTTTAATCCTTTTCGTCATCATTTATTACTAATAGCGCTGTTTATAAAACTGAATCTAACTTACTTAGCAATTGGTAAGTAATCGCGCTATTTGTTTCAATTTTACGATCACAAAATGACCGTTGCAAGGTCCAAATAACGATAATTCTTACTAATATTATAAGTTGAAAATTAAAAATGTAAATGGCTCATAATCAAAGATTTGTCCTTGTTCTTAAGATATACATATAGTATTTGAGTTGGAAAAGGATAGAATGTACTTTTTATTCCAGTAAATCAATATATCTAACAACGAAATTTGGGGGGAAAGGGATTGTTAGTAATGGAGACTAAGAATTCCATTGCTAGCAATATACCCAACCAGGTCGACCTCCTCGCGGTTCCCCTTGGAAACTATCATGGTTAATTCCTGATGAATTCATTATGATGGGCTAACCGGCCTGTTTTAATTTTCATCTACTATCACCCTTCACTGGTGCTCGCCAGCGTATCCCGTTAGCGCAGGCGGGGTTACCATACTATTTTCACCCATCAAAAAAAAACAACGAAGTTTAACATTGAGTCCTACACTACACTAAGGCTCAGCCTAGGGTAGGAATCAATGTTAAACTTTGTGCTTATAAAAACATACTTTGGTAATAATTACATTTTTACTTTTTTTTTTTTTTACTCTAACAAGATTTCTATAAAAATAAATAAATAAATAAATAAAATAAAGTACCTAAGGTTTTTTGATATTTGCTGTCAATTCTCATCTTCTATACTTATAATAAATCTGAAGAGAAATCAATTCTGTACATAAAATATATTTCCAAAATAATTATTAGGGAGTGATTAGTGATCGATACCACAGATAATATAATTCTATACTAGTATCGATACTGATGCCGAAAATGCAATCAGTAAAATTTTTGTCTGTCTGTATGTTTGTTATAGAAACAAAAACTACTAGACGGATTTTAACGAAACTTGGTACAATTATTATTCATACTTCTGGGCAGGTTATAGTATACTTTTCATCACGCTACGATCAATAGAAGCAGAGCAGTGAAGGGAAATGTTAAAAATGTCCACCCGTGCGACGCCGGGTCGGGCCGCTAGTACTGAATAAAGATATATATTTTCTAATATAATAATAATGATATTTAAAAATGACGTTTTCTAATAACAAAATATGAATTAACAGAAAAAGAAAATAAATAATTCTATTTTTAAAAGTAACATATATAAAACCTCAATAAAAAACGATAAGTTTTCAATCAGCTATAAAAAATTATAGCGTCCGTAAACCAACTTGTTATTTTTATTTTATTCACTTTCATAGATCGCAATATGTTTTCAGTAACTTTTTATCTATATTATATTTTCCAGATTTCAGTACAGTACGCACCTTTACCACTAATAATCTATATCAATAGAAATTAAATTTTGTCCGTTGGAAATCCTATCATTTGTGAACTGTTGAACTGATTTAAGTAACTATTTCGATTTAATATTTAACAAAATAAATAATATTTGTAATTCGAATAAGACAACTATCGGTTCAATAGTTATTTTTTTTTTTTTTTATTTATTGTGACTTTGGCGAAAGCCATCAGCCAAAAAGTAATAATTACAAGGTAACAATATAAAATTACAAGACAAATTACAAAAATTATTATAGATATAAATTAATTATAATATACTAAGAAAGTAAGTTAAGTAGAAAAGTATAAGTTACAATTACATATTTAAATTTCACCAATTGATGAAAAATTTCTTGGTACAAAATGGTATGTTTTAGTAGATCCTGCACTGAAGTAGGAAAATTTTGACATTTTATTAAATCTTGACATTGACAAATAAAAAGTAACCGTTGAAGTGAGAATTTAGGACAAACAAAAAAAAATATGATCCAAATTAGAAAAAATGTTTTGGCAATATTTACAGATAGAATTATCCAATAAATTAATACGTTGCAAATGTGCAGGAAATTTACAATGACCTATCTGCAATCTACTTAATATAGTATAACCAAACAATTTACAGATTTTGTTCGAATCAAGCCAAGTTTCATTTAGTAAAATGATATCAAAATGTGATGTAAAGTTGTAAATAAAGTTTTTAAATTGAAATATTTTAGACAGAAAGCGTCTTGAGTTTCAATGAACAATATTAATTTCATTTAAAGATGTAATGGTCATGTTGAAAAATTAGATATGAGTATTTCCTTAATTAATTTAGATGAAATTGTATCAGAATTAGTTTGAGCTTTCTTAACTAGCTCAATAACAGTCTTAGTAATTGTGTTGAGTACAATGTCTGAGTTAATGATGTCAATAACTAATGCCCTTTTTTGAGGAGATTTATTTTGCGTTGGGCTGTTACTAGACACAGGGGTATTTGAATTAATTACAGAGTTAACCGATTTTGAAGTCACTGATGCATAAGATGTTTTGCCTAGAATTTTATCTTTGATTTGAGACAATTTCATCGATTTAGTGGGACAGCTATTAGATACTGCTACATGTTGTCCATTACAATTAACACATTTAGGATTGTCTTTGTTGATACAGGATCTATAATCATGAGCACCGGCGCATATGGAACAAACTTGCTTACTTCTGCAGGAACTGCTTCCATGACCAAATTTGTAACAAGTGAAGCATTGGAGTAGAGGTCTAATGAATTCACGCACATCCAGCCAAATATGATCATACGTTACGTGATCAGGTCGCTGCGTAGAGAGGAAAGTTACTAAAACTGTAGGAAGAGGATGAAAACTTCCATCTTCTTTCTTTTTTTGAAACGTTTAACACCGATGATATCTACAGTAGATTTTAAGTTATTTAAGAGATCTTCCTCAGATATTTCAGTAGGAGCTCTTATAACTCCCTGAGATTCCAGCTGATTATTGGGTATCCTAGCCTGAAGTTTATGTTTCTCTAATAAATCTTTATTTAATAAAAATTCGTTAGCCTGTTTCATTGATCGAAAACATATTTTGAATGCAGTAGAACCCATAGTACGAATATAGAATACACCAGGTACAGTCCTCAGAATAGAATTGACTTGCAATAAGTTTACATTGTTGCCCTCAATAGGAGACAACAGGATAAAATATTCATTTTTAGTAGTGTCAGAATATAGGTAATTTTGATCTTTAAACAGTCCTCTTTTTGAGTGAGTAAATTTAATACTCATCTTAGCATCTGGCTCTTCATCAGATATGGAAGTATAGTTTTTTTCTTCTTTTTAACTTGCCTCCGCTTGACTCGCACATATCCTCTAACAACACACGAGGGCTTAAATTGGAGAAATAAGTAAAAGAAACTAGGAGAAGCAACAAATATTAAACAAATAAAATGAATTTAAAATTTCCGCCCTCGCGTTACAAGTTTTCCCGCCCTACCGTGACCACAGATTACCGTTCAATAGTTATAAACAATGCGTGTCTCTTGTTTCAACAATCGATGGAATGTACTAAATTATATTTTTAACCAATGGTTTTAAAAGTTTTATTTTTCATCGCTATTGCTTGACAAAATGTGTCAAGGACGTGAAAATAATATTCTTATAAATATTTAACTATTTACATTTCAGATACATCTATGTTTTGGCTGAAAGAGAACCTGTACAACGGTTTATAATTGAAGAAAATTACAAGCCGTATGTTATTGTTAAATAAATAATATTGCTTTATAATGTTGCGCGTAAACAAATACTAATAGGTGCCATTACATCAACATTAGAGGAGACTTACGGATATACACTTTTGTATATTCCACGGAGGGTAAAATCTTCCTTTGCATTAATTGAAAATTTTACTATAGATTTGTGCGTTACGCTACGTAACGCAAAAGTCTAATGCAATTTTGTTCTATTTTGACGGACAAAAAAAGAAAATGTCTTCTGTCCATTCTTAAGACAAAGTAAATGAGTGTGTATACACAAATGTAATATTAAAATTAGCTATATAAGAAGACAAATGCTTTCTTCTTTTCGCAATACGTTATTCATATCCTGTTGTATTTTTCAGCGCCATATTCGGCTCGCACCTTTACGATCCAATCAAACAAGTTTTTGAATCAATACCGAAAATTGAATCCCATGACCAGATTGTGAATGAAACATTAATAATGTCAACAGCTGTCGGCAATGATGTACATCACAACAATACAGGAAATAACTTAAGGCGCCATACAACCGCTCATACATCTAAGCAGACCACTTACATACGTCTATCTAAACCCTACAGATGGCGAGGTCGATCGAATTCAACAAGTAATAATCTCATCAATGTATAACGTAATATCGAAATATAATATTTAGATATAGAATTTTGCAGTACTTTCCATTATGGTATCTGTAATATTGAAACTAAAGTTAGAATCAATTGCATATTTATTTGTTTACATTTCGCTTAATTGCAATTTGTTATAGAAATAGTTTTACAATTTATAGAATTATCATCATAATCATACAATTATTAAAATCTTATTTCCATATAATAATAATAATAATAATACCAATCGTACAATTATTTATATAACTTGGGAATGCCAATAACCTTTACCATCACCATCATAGATACACAACTTATTTCATCCAATTTAATGATTCATCTCAAATGTGCACGCCGATTCCGTAGGCCTTATTCTAGTTAAAAAGAAAACAGTACCGGCCTTGGAATTAGGAGCCGGTCGGGCGGTATCCAAGGACGCCGAGATCTAAAAGGAGCGCCCTAATATACATGTATATAAGAGAGCGTTATAAAATTGAACAACCTGGATCCTAATGCGAAGTAAAGAGAGCTGTCGGAGCTTTTAACATTTGAAAAATAATGACCTTATTGTGATCCGGGGGCGCTGGAAACACTTGTCAAAAAGGTCACCAACTAAGCTAAGGCCGATTTTGTTTACAAATGTAGCCATAAATTGAATCATAATAAAATATATTTAAGCCCATAAAAAAAGAAAATATATTCTAATTATAAGCAACGCGTCTCTATTTCTTTTCAAATATACCCAATTTTAAAAACATCAATATTAAATAGAACCTCTAAAGAAACATGCAATAACTACAATAAGTAATAACACATTGGGGCTTATTATGAAGTACTAATTACTTTAAATCTACCTCTTAACCTTATATTTTAATTTGATAATTTTGGTCAAATAATCTTTGCAGTATAGTGAATTAAATTTATAATAATTTTGATAAACACCTGTTAGAAAATGTTTATATTGGTTCTTACAATAAAAATATAACTATGGTAACAAACTGACATTTTAATTTTAGAAATTAGTTTACAAAAATGGTACCCTAGAATCGCTCTCATTTTTAATTACTTAAATAAAATGTAAGTATACATAGAAATTAAGATAATCCTCTATTTGGTATGGTAAACCCTAGAGCATCATAGCACAATAATATTAGTGACATTTCCATAGATATTCAAAATCACTACTGATAAATTGTAAATGTGACAAAGTAGTTACAAATGTTCATGTACAAGGGGTTTCAAACATAAAATGTTCTAAGCTTGGCACGCATGTAAAAATATAATATAATACAAAAATTAAACAAAATCAATATTATAAAACAGTATTAGTGACTCCAAACTATTATTAACCTCTCATTGATACCTTAAACTTCTAAAACGTATCAACATTTAAAATGCACTGTTAATAGATGTCAGAAGATTCTAGCAATTTAATGTATACTAAACGCAAAACTTTATAAGTTAATTATTAAAAATGTATTACAATTCTTATCACTGTAACATGAGTCTAAGCAGACGCAATGCTTTTAGCAACAACGACTAGCTACTTTTGGTTGCATTTCGGTGGCTTTGATCCGGACACTAGCTCCGGTTGCGACGATCTCAGAAACTCCGTACATCGACAGTGTATAATGCTACTACTAGGTATGTAGGTACTACGTATTAAAGATTAACTACTCATAATGCAAACAGCGAGCCAAAAGGGATTGTAAAACGTCGCAGAATCTACATAGGTAAAATAAATGCAGATTTTTATTATAAGTATCTGCACTTATTTATACCTATTTAAAATATTCAATTAATTAATGTACAAGACAGAAATGTTTTTAATACAAATTTAGTAAAACAAAAATTGTATAAGTAATACTAATACTAATTATTGCTAATAAATTACTACCAAATATAAAATAACAAAGATATCGTATATACAGAGAATTATACCTTAATATCTAGCTTCAAAATTTGAGCAAATCATAAGGCTTGGATAATTAATAATAGTAAAGATAATTGTACATGTAAATATTATACAATACCTAGATTTTATCTCTAAAAGCCTATGCAGACATGGGACAATTTGCCTAGAAAGTAATTCCCTTTTTTGTCAGACACACAGTGCGCAAACCTTTTTTGTTAGTCCCTATACATATACCTATACATATGCTACTTGGACTACAACTATCCCTCATCTGCACAGGCCTTACTAAAAATAAAATATTTGTGACATGTATTTGTGAGACAAATCATTATAACTATTACAAAGTAGAGGAATGTTAAAGAATATTATATCTTGCTATTCAAAAAATTACTTGCTATATGTGCTACACCAAATATTAATGATAAAAATGCAATTAAAAATATGGCCCGAAAGTACCTGAAACAGTAAATTATATATTCAATACGACAAGCTTTTGAGCTTGTTAAATATATAAATAGGGCTATGAAGTAGAATTATATAATACTCTATGTTAGTTATTTATTGTACATTGAGAGTACTCAACTACGAAATTTAATCTAGGAAATATACCACATATTTATAATTTCATTATATTTAAACTATTCATGAGGAATGAAAAATACAGAATACTCGAGCTAATCATCAAAAGCAAGATCTCTGGTTAAAGCAGTGCCTGGAGAAGGTGTTACTCCTGGCTGAAGAACCCCTGAGAGTGGTTTGGCTGTAGCACCACCTAGTTTTTCAGAGTGGCAGCTTTAAAAATTAAGATCGCCCTTATGTTGTTCAACCTCCGATAGAAGTGGAACTTGAAGAAGATATATTTAAAAAAGAAATTGTTAATATTAATCTTACAAAATTAATTTATTTTCCTGTGAGTGTCATTAGCAGTGATGAAGGGAACTTAATGGTGAGGGATGGACAGTAGCGTCCTTCTTAAAATATCACTAAAATCCTAACTGTGATTGCCAACCTGCCTGTCAAGTGCAACGACTACTGGTAAAATTCCCCTCATGTGAAAGGTTTATGTTCAGCACTGGACAGTTAGCAGCTGATATGATGATGACAATTAATTTTATAAAAAAAAAATAGGAAATCGAGGATAAAAAAAAATATTAACAACATTACCTACATCAATATTTTTATATTCAATATCACTTCAGTAGCTATGAAATATTAAATGAGATAGAGAACTTCAAACTCATACTTATAGTACACTAAGTAAATTTTGATCTCTCACCAAGTAAATTTTGATCTTCTAAGCACTCTAATAATACTCTCTGTTTGATGTCTGGTGTTCAAGATATCTCCAGAGTTATCTATCACAAAATGAGACTTTGCAACTTTTTGCTCGAGAGGCATTTGGCAGTTTATTCTCTTCTTAGCCACCACTTCAGTAAAATCACTGCGTTTACATAACCTCTCTAATTGCTGATGATCCTCACTGAAAAATAAGTAATATCAATTTTAAGTGATTTCTTCAAAGATAAAAGATATATACATATAGAATGATGATATAGAAACATTTTTTTACATTTGTCAATTCAGGAAGTAATATATTTTGCCGGAAGTAATAAATTTTCTGTTAACCTGCATTGCAGGAAGTAATAAATTTTCTGTTAACCTACATAATTTTCTCAATTTTATTATATTCTGTACAAGAACACATTTCTAATATTAAATTAGCATTCATTATTGTGACAGTCTATGAGCTAGGACTCTACCTGCCAAAAACAATCATTGGGATTGATTTGCCATTGAGATGCCCTTTCACTGAATATATCTCTAAAATTTCAATTTGTTATCATAGCGAAATGTTTATTTTAAATACCAATGTCAACAAAATTTCTAGATTTAAAATACAATTCTTATAATTTAGTTTATAATAATCCATAAAACAGTAATACCATGTATCAAATTAAAGTATTAAATTAAGAGATAGGTGACAAATGACACCTCAGAATCGACCCCAATTTATATACGAGGTTTGTCCGGAAAGTACGTATAAAAGTTTTTTAAAAATTTTATTTTACAATTATTCAGGTAAATCAATGTTATCCCCTTCAAAGTACTCCCCCTGTGACATAATGCACTTGTGCCAACGCCGTTTCCACTGTGAGAAGGCTCCTTGAAAGTCCTCTGGTTGTAGGTTTCTCAGCTGCCCCGTCGTAGCTTTTTTTATCTCATTTATGTCCCCCAAATGCCGCCCCCGAAGTACCAATTTGGTTTTTGGGAACAAGAAGAAGTCACACGGGGCCAAATCCGGCGAATAGGGGGGGTGTTCGGTCACCGTAATGGAATTTTTACTCAAAAACTCACGGACAACAAGAGAGGTGGGCAGGGGCATTGTCGTGGTGAAGAATCCAACGCCCCTCTCGCGCCAATTCTGGACGAACTCGTGCCACACGAGCTTTGAGGCGTCTGAGCACATCGACGTAGAATTTTCCATCAACTGTCTGGCCTGGAGGGACGAATTCTTGATGGACAATCCCCCGAACATCGAAAAAAACAATCAACATTGTCTTGACATTTGAGCGGGATTTTCTTGATTTTTTTGTTCGTGGTTCCCCGGATGTCTTCCACTCTTTGCTTTCACGGCCATTCTTGCCGAGTTTCGAGAGAAACTTGATTACGACGCGCTGCTCTTCAACGGAAGCGGGCTCCATGCCGACGGGGTTTCGTTAAGAGGTAACTTCACAGATGGCGTGACAAGCCAGTTCGCACCGCACGGCGGTCAGACCAGAACTGAAGCATTGTTAGGGACATAAGGAAGGGGTCCTGCGCTTACCTGGCCTCCCCACTCCTCTTTCTCGCATTCCAGAACACTTTTATACGAACTTTCCGGACAGACCTCGTACATCTATAAATGTTTGCAGATTGCTATAAAAATATGCAACATCTCAAAATTTTTACGATTAACAAAAATTAACAAGAAAAAAGAAAATTATTGTATATAAGAGTATATATTCCATAACAACCCAATAATACCTGAATGCACACCCAATTTCTCTCCACAGAATAGAATATTATTAGCCTATTATTACTATTATATTTACCAACCAATCATATGTCTCTGTTCCATTGAAATTATAAAGAACATATAAAGGATACCATAGGACCCGCAATATATTCTCTAGGGAGGGAAAAGGGATTGTTAATAATGGGGATTAGCAATCCCATTGCTAACAATAAACATTATCAGGTTGACCTCTTCACAGTTCCCCTGAAAACCATTGTGATTGATTTACTGTTGAATTTGTCACGATGAGCTAACTGACCTGCTTTCATCCTCACTTATCGTCCCTCACAGGTGCCCCTCCAGTGTATACCGATATCACTGGCAGAGATACCGTTCTATTGTCACCCATTAAAAAAATGTATTTTCTATGGTGACAGTCACCACTTTTCATTAGGTCAGCCATTCGTTTATCATAGAAAAAGTATGTATATGTATTTATCACAATCTCATTTTGAGTTTACTTATTAAATATAAGAATCCACAATCACTTTTTTTCTGAAATCTTAGTATGTAGCAGTATGTACATTGTGTAAGCCTATTATATAATTAATGCAAAATTAACTTAGTTCATTATTTGATGAGTGAAACTTACCAAACAACAGTAATAATTTTGTGCATGAATGTCAACATTTTTCCTGTTTCAAATAACAGTGGTACTTCCATCACAATATATCTATGACCTGAGAAGAAATATGATATAGCCATTTTCATCATAGCGCTTTGTATTCTTGGGTGTGTGATTGCATTCAGTTTACGCCTCTTTTCATTATCATCAAATACTATTTCACCTAGTCTAACACGATTCACTTTACCATCACCACATAGAACTTGATCACCAAAGTATTCTCTCAATTCCATCCAAGCCTTTGTACCCGGCTCTAGAACTAAAACATAGTTAAAAAACAATATTCAAGGATATTGTGACATAACGATAATAGTTGGACATATATATAGTATGGCGAAGTTTTTTGTAGTTATTGATATTTTCTTCAATATTGTAGATCATACTTTTGTTCTATCACCAATAGTTTCCGAAGTGCACGCGATGAAAGATATTTTATAGCATTTTTTTACACCTTGAGTTACAGTTATAAAGTCTTAATAAGGATCCTTAATCTTTTCTAGTAATAAATATAGTCTATGTATAATATATATAAATAATAAATAGAGTATGTAATTCAAGGTGAATGTAGCTGTCTAATAGTAGAAGAATTTTTAAAATCGACATTAAAATTAATTTTTGAGTTTATGAATTACAAAAATACATACAAACTAAAATACAAATCTTTCCTCTTTATAATATTAGTGTAGATGTGTGTTATGTATTGAGTACCTATTATTTAAAATGCTCAAGCATTTAGTTCCATTGTTTTTTGTTTCTATTGTTAATTTTTAATATAAAATTATGTTCCAAAAAAAAACAATTTCAATTGTGGCAATATCAGTTATTATAATTTAAAAACTGAATTACAGAACCAACTTTAATAAAGTTTCTATGAAACCAACCTGTAAGTATATGTTTTCAGATAAAAAAAATCCAAATTAGTTTACAATGAAGTTAACAAACATAACAAAAAATACAAACAAATTGAGAACATACTTCTTTTTGTAGTTGGTTGAACAAACAGACAAACAATGTAACTCAGTACAAGTATTTTTTACACATATTCCAAAATTTTAATTATCATTTTCCATTTATATTAAACTCACATTAAGATGTTAATATATTAAACAAACACAGTGTATGATAACCCCCCACTAGATGAAGTGGTGATCCCAAATGCATTGCAGGGGGACAAATCAAGACCGTTCCTTATGGCAGTCTATGGAGGAGGCCTAGATAATGGCTGAAATGATGATGATGATATTTAACATAGCAACATCAATAATGCATAGCTAATAAATACAGTACAACACATACAATATGTTGTAATATATAAGAAATATTTCATAACTGATATATATAAATTATCCTTGTTTTAAATAAAAACCTGTATTACTCATTAACCTTGTAGTCCTTTTGTTAAAAATCAATATACCACTTAGCATTAAGATGTTTTAACATTAATAAATTGCATGAGCAACAATTCAGTTAATAGATGAGCAAAGAATATAATTATTTATATTCTTTGCTTGTTATAACTAAATTATTATAGAAACATGTTAATTTCATTTGTATAGAAAAAAAAATAAGAAAATAGGCTTATGCAGTCTTTTTTCAATTTACATGCATCTCTTCCTTGATAAAATGTTGTTTTATTATTATTTCAGCTTTTAACTGTCCACTGCTGGACATAAACCTTCCCTATGGGGAAAGTTTATAAGAGGAGTTTTGCCAGTAGCTGCTATGGTTGCTAGGCGGGTTGGTAATCGCAGTTAGGCTTTTAGAGATGTTGTATAAGGGATGCTGCTGCCCATACCTTGTCTTCCCTTAGACACCTCTTACAACACCCACAAGAAAGGAAGGGGTGGCTTATTCCATGCTGGGGCACACACGGCAACAAAATGTTATAACTATTACATCTGTAATAGTATTAACAGTAAAAAAATCTTTCCTATCAGTTGTCCAACTAATACATTTATGATTGGATAATACAATGCATCTCAAATAGTTATATGATTATTAAGAATCTGCCAAATATAATAATTACCTTTTCTAGCAACTTCATCAGCATCTATAACTGCTATACCATTATCTCGAAATATAGACAGCACTGTACTTTTCCCTGTGGCGAGGCCACCAGTCAGACCAACAATAAACATTTTGAAGTGTTACACAAATTATCAAATTTATACAGTAAAACTTTTTAAGTACAATATTCTAAAAGTACGATATTGTTGCGATAACATATAAGTATTTATACGAAAGTTTTGTTTCGTCTACACATTTATATGGTCAGACAAAGGCAATTGACGAAATTGTAATTGAATTATTACACAATTGTGTAGTTCTTCATACCTATATTTACAAATTAATGACAGGAAAGTTCGATATTTAAGATACTTCTGCGCGCTTATTTTAATAAGTTGAAGAGTTTTATTTATATCCTTAATTGTAATCAATATAATACAAAAAAAATATTATTATTATTTTTATATATATATATATAAATAAAGAATTTAATGGAAATTTCCAAAATAAATATAAAGTTATGTAAATGTCATACTGTTGTAAATAATGGCATAAACATTTGACAATGACACTAACAGTGCGAGAGCTGTCAGTTTTTTTTTTAAAACGTTTCGTTCTTTAAACTTTCTTCGATACGCTGAATCATCAATACAACCTACGTTCTTGGAATTTATGCCGATAAGTAAAATATGTACCTACTCATTAGGTGGTAAGTTAACTAGCTGATCCATCAATACAACCGATACCGAATGCCGGGTCAGCTAGTTTCGTTTCTTTGGTAATTAAAATCTATGCCACATTGTTCGTGCAGCTAGTGCTGTAGACATCTTAGAATTCACTGTGGCATTAAAGGTGAGTAAATATATAGTACAATATAAATAAACTGCTTAATAAAATCAAATATTAAAATGTGGTGGAAAATAAAATATACTTGAATAGTAAGAATAATTAAATTAATTGTACTTAGGTATATAATAGAGCCGTCTTTTTATGCAATGGCAAACAAGCTAACGGCCCGCCTAATGGAAACTGATACAACGAAACTAAATTGGCGCTAGTCTGTTTTTATTTATTTTGTTTTATATTTTTTGTGTTTTGTTATGTTTTAGTTGATATTTAAGTACTTATTGTTTTAATGGTTAAGAATGGCATAGTAACCCTACCTACGCTATCGATATAGGCTGGTGAGACACGAGTGAAAGATGATAGTTGAGGATGAAGGCAGGCCAATTAGCGCATCGTGATAAATCTCATGAGATATAACTAAGATGATTTCTAGAGGGAACCACGTGGAGGTCGACCTGTATATTGCTAGCAATGGGACTTTTTAATGAGTGATTTTGGAATGGTAACTCTGCCTGCGCTAATAGTATATACTGACTGGATAAGTTATTAAACAAAACAGTTTTAGATAATCTAGTCTGAAATAGGAGACGCTCAAATTAATTCATAAACTTATATTATATAAATCGAGCCCCAAAAACAGACCAACTTTTTGTCAGCTTATTGTCAAATTAGCTGACTCGTTTGTTCATTAGTGTTCTATATACTTACTTATATATTGTACTTACGCACATAATGTATCTTGGCGTATCTTTAACAATTTAACAAAAAAAAAAATATTTGTTACGCATCACAAAGATACAAAAAATATAAAATAAAATATAAAAGTTATAGGGGAAACATTCATAAAAATTTATGACGCAAAATTGTATGAAAAAGTTGACCCGCTTTTTCTAAAGCATTTGTATGAAGACATTCTATCTATATAATCTAAGCGTTTGATAAAGAAATACAAATATGTTATAAAAGAAATCTCGGGAATTTGTAAATTTGTGACAAAACTTGAATTAATTATTGTAAGACGTGTTATTGGTTTATTAGATGCAATCCATTTAGTGGGCCAAAAATGTTAATTATTTTAAGAATTGATCTTATAAAATAAAAAAATAAGATAATTTTTTTAATTAAATTTTTTATTACACAGCTTTAAAAAATATAACATTTTTTATTATAAACATTTTTTTAGTATAAAAGTTAAAAGCTTAATCTTCATAGTAGTGTTCGATTTTTTTAATTAATTAACAAATGAAGTAGTTATGGTACTTTATAAAAATTATTAAATAAAAATAATTCATATGGAAGTATTTTGTCCGCACTTTAATGAATACAAAAATAAGCTAACTTGAAATGATCACAATGTTGGCAAGTTGTTTACCTAAAATGTTAAAAAAATAACAAATAAAGACAGATTTACTTCAACTACAATGTCTTCACTAAATGTTTTTAAATTCGTTGGGTAGTTTCAGAGCTTTATGCGAAAGCTGATTATTAATACCCTTTTGAATCCTATCGGATAAAATAGCATTGTGTTATAAGATGTTGAAAAAAGATTTTCTTTTAGTGACTTGGCTAAGTGAATATTTCATACATACATACCTACATATATACTTATATTAAAATATCCTTGTAGCACCATTGAAAATAAAATATACCCGATTTTTCAGATTTTTATCAACAGTACAAATGATTTTATATCAACTTAACAAGGTCTAATTTCATATATTTCCAACAATCACAAAAATGTGTAATGTAGCCTGAGCTATTTTGTACTCAACGTTAACAATATAATCGAGGTAAGTAGGGTTTATAATATTGCCAACGAGGTATCTCTCGTAACTGGTTGGTGAGTTAGTGGGCGGGGAGGTAGGGCGGGGCTGAGTCTCACTCTTTACTCACCCTCTATCTATCCCTCTGAGCCTCATTACACATTGGACTGCCACCGAGTACGAGTAAATTTTATACGAAAAATTTTTCGTACATGTGCGGTTTACAATGTAATTTGTCTCGCGAGATATTGTGATATATTTGTTTAGCAGAATGTTTAATATGGAAGGTAACGGTGTCCGGTGTCCAGTCCTCGACAGTGTAGCAGCATCATTACCTCTAAGTGGATCCCCGTCATCATCTGCAAACAGCTCCGATATGTTCCTCTACGATGATTCCTCAATGTCCGATGGCAGCTTATACGCGAGTGATCAGGAAAATTTGTCAACCCCAAGAAAACGGTACAAATTTCAATAACTTTACAACTAAACATATTATGTAGGTATTTGTAAGAATGTTGATGTTGATGATTATTGGCCTTCGATAGCATTTTGAATTTATTTTTATAATTGAGAAAACTACGAGTGTCTCTATTTATTATACGTTGAAAATGTATTTTTTAAACAAATTGACCTGTATCCATTTAATAATAATAAAATAAATAAACATTTCTATTAATTTATTAATTGAATAAATTAATAGAAATGTTTATTTGGAATTGTTATTTTTGCATTTGATTTTATGAATGCACTCTACGATTATTGCTCACTGCAACTATGCAAAAGCGAACTGATTGCTATTTATACTTATTATCGTGTGTAAATTAACATAAATTAATATTATTTGTCATGAGGTGCCGGCATATAAAGGGCCACCACTTCTTGTCCCGTGGATGTCGTAAGAGGCGACTAAGGGAATTTAATATTTGAGGGTTGGGCAGCCGCATCTTTCTTAAAACATCACCACAGCCTAACTGCGATTGCCAAACCGCCTATCAAGCGTGGCAACTACTGGTAAAGCCCACCAATAGGGGAAGGCCTATTTTCAGCAGTGGACAGTGAAACGCTGACATGATAATGATGATAATAAATAATACTGTAGCGTTTCGAAAAAAATAAACATTCAAAATTTTGGTGAAGTTTCAATTCGCTATCCATTGTAATTTTTCCCCGTTTTATTTCAACACTTTCGACGTTTTATTTCACACTATATTTTCAAAACATACGTAACGAGAAAATTTCATAATTCCATAATTGGGTTGGCAAAAATTCTATTTAATATTTCTTTTAAAGATACGTAGTGTTGTAAATTTGTTATTATTGTTGTAAATTTGTTACCTTTCTACTTTCAATCTATTGTTATTTATATTCATATAAGACGATCTAATAAAATATTATGTATTTTAGTAGTGATTTTAAAGGGCAATTTTGTAAGAAACTAGTGGTCTACAGGTCAGACTGCCGTCGTCTCCACAAGCGCCGCTCTCGATGCCCTCAGCAACAAATTCAACAACGTCAAGCTGCTAACTTGCGCGAGCGCCGACGTATGCAATCTATCAACGATGCCTTCGAAGGCTTGCGTGCACATATACCTACTTTACCCTACGAGAAACGCCTCTCTAAAGTCGATACGTTGAAGCTGGCTATAGGATACATCAGTTTTCTTGGCGAATTGGTGAGTAAAGACAATTTTTTTTTACTACAGAATAGCAAAAAATATGCATATAATTATATTTCCATTGGGGTTAATTGTGCCATACGCCATTTTCTAAACCTATCTCTTAATTTAATATTTTAATTTGATAGTTTTGCGAAATTACTGTTTTATAAACCATCATAAAATAAATTTATGATAATTTTGACTTAAATTCATGAGAAATTTAGTCAATTTTTTTTTTATTTTAGACAGATTTAGAAAATCGGCCGCAATGCTCCCATCAAGAACATTTCGGTTTGTAATCACAAGGTCTATGTAATCTAAATTCAGAGGCATATTTAAGGGGGACGGGTGGAACTTACCTACTCCAGAATGATCAACTCAAGATTCGAATGAAGCTTCGCAAATACGTGTCTGAAAATACATATATGCCATTTTAAGAGGCTAAGCCCCCTGGAAAAATAATCCTAAATAGACCATCGACTATTTTAATTAAATAAAGCTAGAGCTAAAAAAATTGTTTAATAATTGCATTTACATATATTAAATAAGCATTGCTAGAAGATTTTTATACAAAAACGCAAACCGATTTTTAAATTGCGCATTATAAAAGTACTAATATAATAAAAAAAAAAAACATGCGCCGTGTGCTACGAGCTTAGTTTTTTACGTGGTTGGCTTTTATAATAACTTCCATCTAAAACGCAATCTGTCTCATTGACTTCTTACGTAGACGTGTAGATAGAGAATAGGACCAGCCGTCGTCAAGTGGCAAATCTTTACAGAATTCTCCAATATTTTATAAACAAAAAATATTTTTGTCAAAATATTTTATTTAAGAACATTATAACAAATAGATACCAAATTAAAATATTATAGAAATGAAAGTGGTGTAATCCATGTTATACAGTTCCGATAACGGTAACTTTTAATATTTCATTTTTTTTAATATATCTAGCGAAAGTACTTTTGTTTTTAAAAACTCGATCACAGCGAATAAAATAAGGCATAATAAAAATAGCTGTTTTCACCCACTGCACTGATACCGAAAAGTAAAGATAAACGATAATGTCCATTTAGGTATACCTTCAACATTATCTTGATACACTTTATTTTTATATCTATTACAATATAATACTAGTTAACAATAATCGTATTATTACGAGTATAACATTTTCTCAATAAATAAAAATAATATGAACAGGTTCGCGCTGATAGAAATTCTTCAGACACCCTGCTTTCGGGAGTTAATAATACACAAAATAAGGAAGAACAAAAGAAAATCATCATTAGGGGTAAGAGTTTTATTTTATTTATTATTTTCAAAAACTATTTTATTACTATTATTTTTTATACTTATGCTTTTCACGAACGGACACATTGAATAACTTTAGTGGAGGTTGACCAGACAAAGTCGGCTAGAAAAAGCTAGATCCCCTTACTAATAATCTTGCGTTGGGTACATTGTTCTTGTTATTGTGTGTTGCATAGATGCGCTAATTTAGCTGTCTGAGGGGCTATGAATAATAGTTTCATAATCAATCAATCAATAATAATTTCAATAGAAAAAATCAATAATAGTTGCAATAGATAGATTTTTTAATGATGATAATGGTATGGTAACTATCGCTATCGGTATACGCTGACGGGATACCAGTGACGAATGATAGGTGTGAATGAAAAAGCAAGTCAATTAGCTCATCGTGATAAATACACTTGGAATTCAGCGCAATGGTTTCCAGAGGGGACCACACGGAGATCGACTTGATAGGATATATTGCTAGCAATGGGACTGGTAGTTCGCATTACTAACAATTCCTTTCCCTATCCTCCCCTATCCTAGTAGATAGGTTAGGTAATAGTAATCAAAACACATGATTTTTCCATTTATAATTGATAAAACTTTGCTTTCAATTTTTTGAAAAACGGTCATTGCTTCTATTAAACATCCAAGTAGGTAACGAATTAATATTTCGCATAAACATTTATATTCGTCACTGTTAGAAAAACATATTAGTTATTCATTTATTTTATTTATTCTTTTCAAATATATTTAACATAACGCGGAAAAAATATTCGAAAAATATTTTTTATGTATTAATTTTTAATGGTAAAAAAGTTAGTAGGTATAGTTTAAAATTACGGATTTTGAGAATGGGATTTATGCGTAATCGGCTTCTTAGGTATAAGCAGAATAACTAAACCAGAGGTGTTAAGTACTGAGGTACAATAATCTACTAATATATTCTTTCTTCTAAAAAACTCTATCGGTCGAAGATGATAAAGAGCAAAAAAATCTCATATTAAAACAACAAATTAAGTAAGACACGTTTTCAATTCACAATTTCAGATATTATTCCATTGTGTATTTTTAAGCGTACTTTTATGTTTCATCTGGGGAAATATCCATGTTGGAAAATTAAAATGCTTTTCTTAATAAATAATGAGTTCCGACAGGATAGTAATAACCTCTGAATAAAAAATCAGAATAAATCAAATCAAAATAGTACTTGAGACTTGAGAAGCTGTTCTTAAACGTCATAATACAAAATAGTGACATATATTTATACTAAAAAAGCCTAGTAATTATTTCATTTCAGTTATTTATTTTGTGAATTATTATAAAATACTGTCATGTTATTTATATCTACACATTTTTATTTTATTAATTTGCTCTCAATATTTTTTGCGTGGCTGTTGTATTTATTTTAATGACGTGCTCGTATATTGAATATACATTTTTACGATTCAGTTTTTTGCGTAAAATATTTTTACCATCAGCATATTACAAGTAATAATAGCACATTCAAACAATCAATTCATAAAAATAATTAAATTTTTATTCTCTATAATTAATTGGAACTTTTTTCATATGTATATATAAGATAGATACTCTTTATTGCTTCCTTCAAAAGATTTCGTTAGTAAACTTATTATAAGATAATACAAACAATAACAAGAAGTGAATACACTGAGAAAACAATACGCGACCTTATCGCTAGCGAGCGATTTTTTCCAGGCAACCTTTGGATGGAGAAGAGTAATAAACTGTTTGACCGGAGACTTGTAGTAGTTAAATTATTATATATTTAGCTATATTATGTATCATAGAAAACAATTTGATGTCTATCGTATGTCCTATGCATTGATAATTATTATTATATAAATATAAATCAGGAGACAGTGATTGTATTTTTAACTTTCGTCCAATCTCATTACTGCCAAGCTTGTCTAAAATTATAGAAAAAATAATTAATAACAGACTTATAAACTATTTAGAAAAACAAAATTTACTTTCTTCTAATCAATATGGATTTCGATCAGAGAGATCCACAGTTGATGCAGTACAGAGTGTTACAACATATGTGTCGTCAAACCTAGACGCTAATAAAAAATGCTTAGGCATATTTCTAGACATCAAGAAAGCATTTGATACGGTTTCAATACCAATACTTCTCCAAAAATTTTAAAATAAAGGTATAAGAGGTATCCCTTTACAACTTTTTAAAAATTATTTACAAGATCGAAAGCAAGTGGTTAAAATAGATAATTAATTTAGTAAAGAAGAACAGAACACCTATGGCATACCACAGGGCAGTGTCTTAGGACCTACATTATTTCTTGTATACATTGACGACCTGTGTCGATTAATTTCACCGAATGTTGAAATCACTACATTCGCAGACAATACTGCTGTTATGATATCTGGTGAAAATTGGATAAAAGTAGGCAGACGCTGATAAAATTTTTAACATAATAATAAAGTTTTGTACAAAGTCCCCCTCGTACATACATACATACATACATACATATCTGTCACGCCTGTCTCCCATTAGGGTAGGCAGAAACAATGGAACGCCAAATGCTTCGATTCAAACAAACCTCTTTCGCTTCTTCCACATTCATCAATCTTTTCATACACGCTCGCCGGTTACGGGTACTGGTAATTAGGATATTATATTCATAATTTGATTTTTGCATTATATTTGTTGATTACATTTTAATTTAATGATTTAAATATAATGATTAACTAAAAGGATGATTTACCTATCCGATACCGATCTAAACGTTACATGCGACTAAGTGTAATACATAGGCACGGCTAATGTGGATACCGATAGATATCAATATACCTATTGGGTTCCTCTGGACATTGATAGCCGAAAAAAGGTCATCACCCATTTCGATGTCACTCATATCGGTCGGCTAACTATTTTCTAATATATTAAAAGTCTATTATCCAAAAAATAATATTGGATAACAAACTTTGAACATATTCATTATTGGACCAATATATAGATATTATAACTAAAATATATAGTCAATGCTATATATTTCTGCCATTTGTTTTTACTTTTTAAGCAGCCCTATTAGAACAGCATTATTACATTCTGCCCTAAAGTCAAAGACCTAGGTCTGTTAATCGACCCATCACTTAAATGGTATTTGTGTGGGTACCTGAAATGTGTTGTAAGATAACTGGCATTCTACGTGCTCTTTATCGCTTCAAATTTTTTCTTTGTTCTTATCGGATTTATGACAAATTCTTTCACCGTCACTGCTATCAGCCTTTGGAATAAAATCCCTGTAGACCTAAGCAGAGCACCTAGTAAGCCAATTTTTAAAAAATATCAAATCAATAGTTACTATAATGTTTATCGTTGTGTGTATGTATATATATATATATATATATATATATATATATATATATATATATATATATATATACTTACACACAGATATACGTAAGAAATATAATATATATATATATATATATATATATATATATATTTCTTACGTATATCTTATGTACAATTACGTACGTACGATAATTATGACTCATATTTTTTACCACTTCTGACCTTCAAACGGTTTCTGTTTTTTCTTAATATTCAGCTGGTAGAGAAAATGCCATATGACATTAAACTCGCCACTTGTACAATTTTTTATTGTGTAATTTGTTGTGTAATAAAGAATTAAATAAATATATTTATTACCTATCCCTAGCAATGCATAGAAAACAATCATAATAGGTAGGTACTATTTATTCCTAAATCGCTATGCAAAAGTAATATCTAATAATAGCATCAGCCCTTATTTTATTTGCTCGCTAATCACTTTTAAACAATACATAACACTTCAAAAAGACAGATTGATAACTAATTCGAGCAATTTTTGGCTATCGTAAACTGTTTGCAAGGTAGTTATAACACTAGTTCTTTATACTGTAGTTAGCGAGTAGTTTGCATCAGTAGAATATTATAGAAATATAAATCAAAGAATAATTGACCCAACAACAAGACAGTCTGATAATATTCAATAGTAGTATTAATAAAAAATCAATTAACGGATTGATTGTCTCGTTTGTTACTAATTTCATTTAAAGTGTGTAGTTGTGATAATGTCAGTAAAATTTAATCTCTTTTGTATTCTATATTTGTTACTTTATAAATCCATAAATTGTAAACTGGAAAATTCTTTTTTATCTGAAGGAATATACTTATAGATTGGTCTCACAGAAAATTTATCAAAATAGGTTCATTAGTTTAATTTTTAAATCAAAATAAATGGTTTCGTTACAATTGAAGACATCTTTTTTTATGGAACACATTCTTAATTATATCGAATTATTATGAAGTTTCATTGAAACAAACTATACGTTATTAAGAGGCCATAGACGTCAATAGAGCATGGAAGACTCTCGGATGCCCTATGGGCCCGTACCATGCTGTATTGCCACGGTGCGGTGCGAGCAATATGTTGTTCGCAGCGACCCCGCTCTCAAATTGTTTGTGCACCTTTTGTAAATCGATATTGCGGTTGTTACGGTACTAATGTGCAGCTGAATTACCCATTATGTTTTGATGAACATTTTGGCTATATTTTAATTCGACTCCTTAAAATCCTAGGTCTAAGTATCTTGTCGGCATGTGACGAGAGACTTTTAGTCATTAATAACAAAATATGAAAAAAATATTTATTTTTCAAGCGTCTTCAACTCTTTTATGTTTGTTACCTCATAATTCGTAAACCGCTTTGAAAAATTCTTTTAAGATCCTAAAGGATATATTCTTATATATATATATATATATATATATATATATATATATATATATATATATATACGTATAAAAGGATATATACTTACAGATTGGTTCATAGAAATTTTATCAAAATTGGTTTAGTAGTTTAATTTTTAAATCTATATTTATGATTGTGTTTCACAAAAAAAAACCGACCTCGATTAAAGAAAAACCTAACTGGTTCTGCTTTAATTGAATTCGGTCGGCCACAATCTTAATTATTATTATATAATTGACTATTTAGTCTATTTTTTTCTGATTTATCTGAGTTTTTTTTTTTACATTTATTGATTGTTATTATTTTTAAACTTAAAAAAAGCATCAATTGCCGTGAGAACACATGAAAAAAATGTTCAACAACTTTCCTACTTATCTTTTGATATCATCAATATCATACAACTTATTTTTTCCTTCATTTATTTCTTCATGGAAATGAAAATGGAACATTCATTATACAGATAAATAATTGTTTATCATAATTTCGGATTAAATGTCATATTGTCGACATTAATTTAATAAATTTATTGAAAAAAAAATACAATAAAAATGTTGCGTGCAATAATCGGTCATTATCTCGCATCACGTTATCTCGCTCGAGTGGTCCAGGTGCCATCATTTACTAGTTCCCACAGGCTTGCGTGTTTCGCCCTCGTATCCCGTGGGATCACCAAACAAATGTCGTTTAATTTTAATGTCCTTAATTATTGATTCTATCATACGTGTAGATATTTCTCATTAAAATATATTCAACCTACATGTCTAACCTACATTCGAATAAATTTACCATAGATTGACGTCCTGGAAAGTACATGTGAGTGCATTATACTTTGTCCTTAGGTTTTTTGATGAATGAAAATGGAATGGTGACCCCGCCTGCGCTGTCGGCATACGCTGGCGGGGCATCAGTGATAGATGATAGATAAGGATGAAGGCAGGTCAGTTGACCCATCTTAACAAATTCAACAGGAATTAACCACGATGATTTCCAGGGGAAACAGCGTAGAGGTCGACCTAATTGGGCATATGCTAGCAATGGGGCTGGGCTGTCAAAACTCATTACTAACAATCTCTTTCCCCCCTGTTCTTACGTTATACTACGTCTATGGGAGTAACACTAGATATAACGTCAAACATATATATAATGGCATAGTGTTGTTGTTACCTATACCGTCGACAGTAGATAATTTTGGGACAATTTAGGAAATAATCATTTGATATTTTATAATAACATACATTTCTCTGTTAAAATAGGCATCAATTTCTTCCTAAAATGAACCAATTGGTATGTGCAACTGTTTGTGCTTCTTATTGGGCGTGTTATTGTCTGTAATTGTTCACGAACAATATATTATTTCTAGTCATTAGTTACAACATATATTAGTTAACCTAAATTATTCAGAAGAAATAAGACGATATCAATTTTACACATGTATCTCTTTTATAAATTAATTTTATAATTTGCATAGGCATCTCTTTTAGAAATTACTGTACATTTAATAATGTAAATAATCTAAATGTATAATGTACATAAATTTATGGGGCTACGAACAGTCAAAATTTGCAATTTAGTATTTAATTTTTTATTTGTAGTAGTATTTTAAAAAAAAAGATAGATGAATAAAGATTGTACGTAGTACGTACTTACTTATTCTATATTACTTGTTTATTTACTGTAAATTGATTTTCTATGTAAAAACTATGCGCACAACTATAATTCCTGGGGTAGGTAGATATATTTTACAATAGAATTTGCGACTAAGTGCACGTTGCACTTGTGCTCACATCACATAAGTGCATCTAAAACTGTAAACAAGGGTTTGGAACGGCCGACAGTTATTTGCGAATCACACCATAGCAAATTGAGAGATCACCCCTTATAAATAGGGAGGCGGGCGGAATGGAGTTTATTAGGAAACTATTAAGTTCTCGACACCCTTTTGGTAAACTTTAAGTATTTAAACAATAAAGAATTACTTTATTTTTATCACTATAACATTCGTTTGAAGTGGTTAGTATATTTTTTTTATTAAATTTAAAATTATCATATTTAAAATTATAATATACATTTTATTATTAATACTATTAGATTATCATTTTTATATCTCAGCGTTTTTGTAGTAGATTTAACAAAATTTCGTAAGTGTTTGTTATTATGAAATAAATATAAATATCTCTAGATATTACAGCTCAAGTTAGTTTTCTACTATAAAAAATATACCTACTCATGAATACAAAGATTTATATTGACCCCGTAATCATTTTGATTGTCGTAACAATCATAAGGATTATTCAACCCGTAGGTTCAATTGAGTGAAGATGGGACGAAGAAGTGCGTTAAATCACTACACCACCTAAGTTGTCATTGGCATTTGGTCAAAATAATCGTTTTACCCACTCCATACCATTATAAGAGTCAATTATTTTCCTATCACGTTATATGTACTTCACATTATCATAATAACAGTAGGGTGATAAAAACCTACTATACTTCGAAGCGAACGCCACATAATCTTTTTTTCAATTAATAAAAAACTCTTTATCAAAATGTAATGTAGGATTTACATACAGATTATCGCGCACGTGCGTCTATGCTCCGAGTTTCCACGTTGACTTTATTCGTAAAGCTTTCAATAGGTTTATATTTAGAAATTGCTTTTATTCTAAAACGTGGATCAGAAAAAGAAAATATAATTGTAAAATAGGTGTAACTAAATAACTAAATAAATCTACCCAGATTTATAAACTGTCCTTTTCCCTTACAAATAATTTAATATTTTATTTAATCTTAAAAAGAGTAAATTATAAAATATTAATGATGTTTATTTAGATGAAGAAAAAATGTTTTCACAAGCGTATTATTTTATAGTGAAAGACGTCATTAAAGTATTCATCTATGCATTGTATAAAATAAAATCGCTTCATCTATATGCTTATATCTGTCAAACTATTTACGCAACGGATTTTAATGCAATTTTCATCAATAGATAGAGTGATTTAAGAGCAAGGTTTATACGTGTGTAGCTTAATATTGTTTAGTGTTAATTAGTTGAAATACGATGATAATTGTCCAATTGGAAGTTGGAAGAAATCAAGTCGTCTAAGAGCTTTCATCGAAAATGCTAAAACTCTTTATTATGACTATAAAAAAGAAGGCTATAATTATATTAATGTTTAAAAAAATTAATACAAGTTATGTGGAATTTGGAAAAGCTATTTAAATGAATACAATAGTAATATTATTAATCACTCCACACTGACACCACATTGTTTCTACATTGCTCTCGTAAGAAACCAAGGCAAGTTGCTATTATATCATAAAACTAAATATTACTACTAATATTTTTATAATGGAACTAATTAATGCCATAGATTAAGAATAGTATCTAATTAATACTAAATACAGAAAAAACTTTTTACACAAATAACTTATAGAAAATGGTACTCAATTTTCAAGAGCCGTCAAGCTATCAAATGTCATTTATTTTATTTATACATAGATATAATATTATAATATTTCTATTTTATCTTTTTATTTTCACATTATGCCTATTAAAATTTTAATAGCTCGCCAAATATTTGATGCTACGGGCGTCCCTACCGTTGAAGTAGACTTGGTGACCGAACTTGGTTTATTCCGTGTAGGCGTGCCTTCCACTGATGTAAAGAAAATAGCGGAGGCGGTACAATTACGCGACAACAAACCATCAGAATATTATGGCATGGGCGTTATGAAAGCTGTCAAAAATATAAACACCATCATTGCACCCGAGCTAATCAAACAAAATCTTGAAGTCACTATGCAAAAGGAAATTGACCAATTCATGATTGCTCTCGACGGTACCGAAACCCGCGCTCGACTAGGAGCCAACGCAATAATGTGTGTATCTCTTGTAGTAGCTAAAGCAGGAGCTGCCAAGAAAGGTGTGCCATTATACAGACATATTTCGGATATGGCAGGAGTTACAAGTATTATACTACCAGTTCCACATTTCACCATTTTAACAGGTGGAATTTTAGCTTCGAATGGATTACCATTTCAAGAATACACAATAATGCCCACAGGTGCATCATCATTCGCAGAAGCCATGCGCATAGGTACAGAGATATATCGATACGTAAAGAATGTTATAGCATCTAAGTATAACATCGAATTTACCTATGTGAGTGATTCTGGCGGTTTTGCAATTCCTCTCCAAAGTCACAGAGAGGCATTATTATTTTTAACAGATGCAATCAAGCAATGCGGATATAGTGGTAAAGCTGAAATTGGTATAAACGCTGCTGCCACTGATATGTTTAAAGATGGCGCATATGATTTAGAATTCAAAAATCCTAATTCAAACCCTCAGGAATATATGTCATCAGATAAACTTGCCGAGATATATTTAGATAATATGAAAGAATTTCCTGTATGCTCTATTGAGGATGCGTTTGAATTTGATGACTGGGCGGCTTGGTCTAATTTAACAGGACGCGTGTCAGGTCAAATTTTTGGTAACGATTTAACACAAACCAATCTACGGCGAGTTGGATTGGCAGTGGAGAAGAAGGCGGGAAACTCGATTGCCTTGCGATTGAATCAGGCAGGCACTTTAACAGAAATTATTGAAGCGTTTAAATTGCTTAAAGCAAATGGATTCGGGGTGGTGGTTTGTGATCGTTGGGGCGATACTGAAGATCTTTTTTTATCGGATTTAGTAGTCGGGCTGTCTGCCGGCCAACTCAAATGCGGCGGCCCTGCACGTTGTGAACGTATAAGCAAGTACAATCAGGTGTTAAGAATAGAAGAGGAATTAGGAGCACTCTCGAAATATGCTGGCAAAAATTATCGCGGCCAAATGTAAGCTATATTTGTCTAATGAAAAATTCGATTTAATTTAATACAATAATAAATAATATAAATTTATGCTTATTTTGTCTTTGCATTTGTATAGATCAATAAATTGTTACCTACCTCGAGAGCTTAAAGCCATTTCTTTAAGACTCAATTTAGAAGAAGTTTGAAGGAAAAGGAAAAGAGACCGATTTCACCTTGTTTTACCTAATTCTTCCGATGCTGTAAATTGTATAACTTATTGGATGAGGGTGGCAATGGTAATTAAGTGAGCTACAATCCCCAATAAACAAACAACTACGGTGTTCTAGGTAACTAACCAATAGAACATTTTTTACAGTATATAATTATTTTTCTAACACCTGCTATTACTTTTTGGTGCTTAGCACCTGAGCAGAGACCATCGAAATCGGTTCAGTAAAAAATACAGACAAATTGAGAACCTCCTTCTTTTAAAAATCACATTAAAACTAGACCACACGTCTCATGCCACCATCGTATTATGAACTCGTAGGTGGAAAGCGAACCCATACGCGACAAGTGGACAAATTGCCGGAAACGATCATTATGTCCATTGTGACATATTTTAAACTGTTATTAATACCTCTCTGATATTGGTTAGTGTAGTCAATGTTTTACTATTATTATTTTTCACTTAATATATGTATCAAACATAATAAAATTATTAAAAAAAAATAGTTAATTTTAGAATATGAAAGGATCAGTTACAAATAATTCTATTACGTAAATTAATAAAATAGAATATAAAAAATGTAATAAAGAAAATGTAAGAAATGTAACAAAGAACTAACATTTAAATATTTCACTGGATGGCAAGTTTTTATGGTATTCATCTCTGCGCTATTGGTATAAGACTATATATGGGGTGGTAAGAATAATGATAGGTGAGGATGATACCAGGTCAGCCAATTCTTGGGAATTTATAAGGAATTGACCAGAATATTTCCCAAGGAGGAACGCATAGAAGTCGTATTATCCGTAAATATGCTTTTACAAGCATAGCAACATTCTTAAAATTGACAGAGCGATTCTAAATTTACTGACATTATTATATTGTTTATTTTAGCTATATAAGTGTCACTAAGATATATTAAATGAAGATTATATATACCCAACTTTTATAATCTATTAACAGTCGCTCGCTGCTTCCCCGACCCATATACTGATGTAAATACCCTATAACGTTCCTTAAAAAATGAACTATTAAATGTAAAAAAAAGTTTTTCAAATCTGACTAGTAGAAATAAATGCATTCAGACAAAGAAACAAACTCATCCGCTTTATTAAATTGGTATAGATAAAAAAGGCTAGAAAACATACTTATAATCTACAGAGAGCATACGTTATCAATAATATAAAAAAAAAACAGTAAAAAAATTAATCGACAGGACAGGTCAACCCTATCGACATCTATCGCAGGAGGGCAAGGGCCGTAACAGCGCGCACGTGCACTGGGGGGCGCCTTTCACCCCATTACAAAAGAATAACACCCCGGTATTATACCACATTCGCGAATAGTTTAGTTAGCCCCCCGGGTCTCTTTACGCTCTCTCCAAAATAATTGCAGATAAATAAACTAAGTTGATGTTCGCTTAGGGTGTTTGCAGCGATTATGCAAGCATAATTAAAAGTTCCCGATTACAGATTACCGTATTCCTTGGTACACGAATCGGATAAATATAAAATTATACCTTTTAGATATGGTGTGGTTAAATTTTATTAGACATTTTTAACATTTCCCTTCACTGCTCTGCTCCTATCCGTCTAGTAGTTTTTGTTTCTATAACGAACATACAGATAGTCAGACAAAAATTTTACTGATTGCATTTTTGGCATCAGTATCTATCACTAATCACCCCCTGATAGTTATTTTGGAAATATATTTCGTGTACAGAATTAACCTCTCTACAGATTTATTATAAGTATAGATTATAAGGATTGAAAATGAATTATTCACCCAAATACCATTTTCAAGTAATGATTACACTGGTCTACAAAATTTAATTTTTTTTTTTTTGCCTTTCAATTGAATACTATATTTTCATACAGATTTGAAGTTAACGAATGATGGATGTGGAATGTTACGGGAGACCAATAATATTATTTTATATTTAAATATTTTATTACGTACAATGTTACAGAGATTATTTTAGTGACAAGACTTACTGTTGAATAAAACACAGTCAGCGTTAAACTCAACTAACAAATATGAAATAATAAAATTTCCGCCGGTAATCACTAAATATCTTGAATTATCATTATTAATGTGATAAATCTATCGCGCTGCCCGCTATTATGTTATATATAGCACAAATACACAATAAGAGCTAACTATGAGTTTTAACTTGTATATTTATCTTTAGCGATACAATCAATATAGTACATTTTCATGTAAAAGGCAAATTTGATGTAGAACAGTGTTATTTTTCACGGATTTGCCTGCACGAACATGCTGGAAAAACTACAAAACCTTGATTCTTTCATTAGTATACGGAAAGCATCATTATATTTAATTCGTAAAGTACTGTAGCTCCTCCTATAAAAATTAGTCCATAGCATAAATAAATTTATAGGTATATCATTAGACACATACTTTTAAAAATAAGAATTACTAAGTAGATAATTTGTAACAATTTCAATTGTGTTATTTAACACATGCAGTCATTATCTATTTTGGTTTACAATGATACTTTAATTTCCTTATTTTGAATAATTAATCAGTCAATACTCACAATTGTTGTCGTATAACAATGGTAGAATAGAGAAGCAACAATCACACAAATAAATGTATACTAATCATAATATGTATTAACATTTAATTATTATTAAATTAATTTTATTTATTTCTACTTCTTTGTATACATATTATATAAAAATATTTTCAGGTAACAACTTTCAAGCCCATTCCCTGTCATGGTCGCGCCGAGGGGAGCGCCCGCCCGGCAGCACTTTACATGCGAAGATTTGGATCCCGGAGGATCCCAGAATATTCTCCAGTTCTACGAACCAGAAGACTGTAGAGAAGGAAGAGCTAAGATAAAACGTCAAACGCTGTATAGCTTTATAAATATATTAATCAAAGTTATTCATTAATGGCGGCATTTGTACTCATGTATTTGCTAAATTTAATATACGTATGTAATATACTTATTTATTATTAAGTTAATCAAATTATTATAAACCTATTACTTGTTTCTGGTTAATAAATTTTCTATTCTTCGATTATAATTTTTTTCGTTTTTATTTTATTTTCTATAAAACAGGTACGTAATTTAGGTACGTAAAATGTAGGCGCATATTTATTACGCAAGTATTATCTCTGTATATACATAACTATCGATATTTTCTGAGACAATCTAAAATATTTTTTTATTATCAAATGTGACTTGAAATATCTTTACTTTGAAAACAATTTAACATTCGTACCTACTTGTCGTAATGTTTATGTAAACTAAGTTTGATACATAGACGTAGAACAATATGTTTAACAGATATTTTAAAAAGGATGAATATTCTCAAAATCCATAGCACAGTTATTAATAACTGTATAAAACAAAAATAACTTTTATATTTATAACATTCGTCTACTTTGCTATAAAAAAATCATAATTATAGACACTTTGCGCAGCCTTTTATAGTTTTCTAATTTCTTTTTTTTTGTAGATATGTACCTATTTAGGTTTTTGTATGCGTTGTCAATTATACCTATATACTTAATAGGTGCTTAATTAATAGTAATATATATCTACATTTCTAAATTGGAGTCTTATTATTTAATAAGCCAAACTAATAGACTGTACCCAAATATACCATACCTATCACTTAATTATTGGTAAATTATTATAATATTATTATAAATGAGGAAGTGAGTTTGTTTGTTTGTTACCTTATAGTGTATTAACGGCATAACCAATTACTTTTAAATAGGATAGAAAAGAATATAGGCTATTTTTTTTATCTCGATCAATAAACATATCCCGGTCACGCGGACGCAGTTGCAGGTAAAAGCTTGTACTGCATAAATAGCATTATGCATATTTATATACTGAGAAACTATGAATACAGACCTACAAAAAATCTTCTTATTGCTTGTAGATATAAATAAATAATAATTTAAAACGCCTATCCAAAAACTTTGTTATAAATTGTTATAATAATAAAGTTGTTAAATAGGTGCTGTCACAAACACTAACAAAGACTACAATAACTGAAATAACTGATTAGGTTTCACATGAAATCTCACAACTTCTTGTAGTAAAAGAACTGCGTTGCGAGACTTGGCATTTTTTGTACATTTTATGTTTTTAATGGAATTATAGTTACATATATATTAGTAAATCTATATACCAATTATGAAACCATACTTGTACAAGATAACTATTAAATAATAAATGCCACAGAACCATATTAATCGTCTGCTTCTCAAGCTTTGTTATGAAGAACCAAACAATGAATATCTAGGGGCATAACCCAGAACACCCAGATCTGAGCCAATTCAGAAAATTTTGGTACCTAAGTTGGCCTGACGGAGAATCGAACACGGGACGTCATTTACGGAAAGCAACGTGATCACTACTATTACGTCGCAAGTTATCATTTAATTACATATCTGTTAACTCTCATAGTTATTTATTGAAGGTGCGTATAGAAAGAATACTTTATATTAGTACTGAATTATGTGACTTACCTTTTTGTCAATGAAAAAAGACCAACTGAAAACTGTTTGTAGTTGGCGATTTTAATAAATTATTATATAGAATATGAGAACACAGGGTTCTCACTGAATAATTATATAAAAAACTTAAGTAATAATGTCTAGAACTTAGGGATATTTTATTTTATTTTAGTGTTCATTCCTGTTTCATCATTCATAAAGTATTTACATATAAAAATATTAATAAAAAGGTGCACAAACCTTTATGTAAGAAATTTAAACAGGAATATTCTACTGTAGATTATAACAGAAGATTATAGATCACTATGACAGTCTGGATAAAATGTTCGTGCCTCATCACAACAGGTGTACTAGTTCCCAGAGGGCGACCACGGTCTATCGATACCTGATTCATTTTTGCTCTAAGTAATACATAGTAGACGATATTCATGAACTCATTTAGGTAGTTAAAACTAAAAAACACGTAAAATTTAATTTAGAAAAACCTCATCAGTACTTTGTTGTATCTAATACCTGAGTAGGATATGGATTTTTATGGATATTTTATTTTTCCTGTAATGTTTGTTGATGAAAATATTATACAAAAAATTGTAGATCCGAAACAGAAAACACGTTCAGTGTAGACTCTCAGGCAACAGAGATCCCATAACAATGAGAGATAAATACTTTCTAAATAGGTACAGGGGTTCGATTCTAAACCATCACCAAATATCTAAACATTATGGAATACGACCGTTGAATAGGGCGAATGTGCCGGTTCACGACCAGTTAACACAGGAAACAATTGTCATTATTTAAAAATTTCGATGTGATGTGAAAGATAAAAGTTCAAACTATTTATTTGTCATAAATTTTATACTTTTATATTATGGTATTATTTAAAAGTTTTTTTTTTCGAAAATTGCATAGCATAGAAAATTGGATAGTCGCTGCAGGTTTTCGTCCATATTATCGCCAGTTCTCGACCATAAAAAATAATCTAAATCTAATTATTTTTAAAACATTAGGTAAAATTTTTAAAAAATAAATAAATATTACTACAAATGACGTTTACAACGTTCAGAATGCACCAATAAGTAGGTATAGATTGTGATACTTGAATTATTGACTGAGACAATTGACTGCATTCCTTTCTTTTGTAAAAAAAATTTCTATATATTTTATTAGTGGTCGACTATTCATCGGTTCTCGATCACCGTTTTATCTTCATAAAACATACTTTGATATACCACTTCGCGCAAGAAAATGCCGGGCGTATTCTAACGTTAGTATTTCCTATCCATTGGTTGAGTAGGATAAAATATTTCTGGCCATATCATCTAGAAGAATGAAAGAGTGTACTAAAGAAATAGGTAAAAATATTAGTTCACGAACAACTGGACGTAAAATGATAAAAACTTTGTTTTCGTCTGTTAATTATGCGACCATCTATTTTTTTATAAATGTTTAAGCTTACATATTTATATGGGCTCAATTTCTTTGGCTTCTAAAAACATCATCAACACTGATATTGGTTATCAATTTGTTAAACAGGATTTTGGGGCATATTAATCTTGCTATTAAAATAATAAGAGCCTGTGTTTCCACTCAAAAACACTGTTATTATAGTTATAGAAAATGTTCAATGATCGGCGTTAATCGGCAAACTGGCATATTGACCCAAAGTACAATTTATTATCCTCGTCAATTTTATTTTGAACCATGATATACTACTATGATGAACCAATCAACCTTCAATATATTTTGGTTCATTCTTGTTTTATAGTCTACATTACATTATTTAGATAACAACATAAAGTGAGAATTACTAAAGTAGACAAAGTAGCTACTGTTCAGTCTGTAGTTTGTACGTAGATACCTGGTGGGCATGAACACCGCCTCGATCAATAAGTGTGGTAAGGCTTGGATTGGCTGCAGATGGCTGTTCTCACGCCTCCTGCCTCCTAAAACCCCCTTTGTGTTTCGCACAGAGATTTGTCACTGAAAACGTCTTTTATTATTCACGAAACAACTTTTTTTACGGACGTATTTTGACTGTCAAAGGACTTTGACCGTCAAGATAATCCTCTCATAATAAACGGCATTATTATACAATATTTCTATTTTCTAAAGTAATAAGGTGCTTATTTTCCGGTATAACATATACATGTCAAACGCGTGGTAAGTACAGTGTGTTATGAGTAGGAACCAACCATTTCCATGTTGCTTGGAACACGAATAAATAGGAATCTTTATTCATATCAAATTTATAGGGGAGATAAAACAATAATACTTTATACTTTTTTCTATATTTATAGTAAATTTTGAATCCCTGTTTTACTATGAGCCCCGATGTCAAAGTAAAATTACCTTTTTAATTAGCAATAATGTTTGTGCAGAAATTGTGTATACGATCACTCCGTAACTTTCTTTTTAATAAAGATTTAAGCAGACGAGTTGGTCTATTTATCAAAAAAATAAAACGTTCCCTTTATAAGCTATGCACTTGTATGGATACGCATGTGTTGTTGCATTCAATACAAGGTGTTGTTATGAGGGACAAAAGTACACCAAGTATCATCCATCGACTGCTCAGACCTTCAATAGTCTAAACTTTGTGCATACTGAATCGCTGTATCGTGTTCTTAATTTTAAAAGTGTAGATGACACAGCAAGGCATCATCATCATCATCATCGAATCGAATGGTAAGTCCGGTAGGAAAAGTAAAGAAAAAACTGAAAATATTAATCAATATTTTATTGAAAAAATATCTAATCTAATATACTATATCTACTGTAACCAATATTTGTTCAACTTTTTATTACCGATCCTTCATAATTTATACTTTGTTTGTACATGTACATAACACAAATTCTTCAAGCCATATTGGCTTCAAAATTTTAATTATCAATAAGCAGCCAGATTAGGAACAAAATATTCATTACATACATATTTAATTTTAATACACTCTAATTTCTGAATATTAAATAATTTATATAGAGTCTTGACCATTTATATTATAAAAAAAAAAAAAAAACTAAATAAAGGCACATGAGTAAGTGTAGGTAATAATGGTCGTTATACATGTATTATTGCTGCATAGATATAATTACGTAACTTTAACGTAATTTCCTATCTAGTTATATTCACTAGGGCGGGGTTTGTTGCAATTCACAGCAATTTGAATAATCGTGAATTGGGACAAATCCTATTACAGTTGGCCAATCCCAGCCACTGATCTGGCGTTGGTCTAAGAGGAGAGCGCATCTGTCGTGTAGATCCCTTAGGCAAGACCAAATGACTATCCTGCCCGAGGTTGCCGTCTGCTATTGGTCTGGTTCCTTCAGAAACAAATATAACAGAAACATTTGGACAAACTCCCTTCTCCTAGGTATTCCATTTCCTTATCATAATATCCAATCCTACTCTCTTTTGCCTTCCTACTCCGCATCCCCTGTAATTCTCCGTGGACAGGAATTACGATCCTTCCCGTCATTAATCGAATCCCAATCCAAATCTCCCCTCCTGTTTTCTATTCCTATGTCCACCCGCGTGTTTGAGTCGTGCGTGAAGACCCGTAGGGGGGGATGAAGGGAACTTGGTGGTTAAGACAATAGGCGCCGGCGGTTGATGCGTCCTGGAGGCAACACACCACTTTGGCTCGGATTTCCACTTAACACGGGAGGTTTAAGTCTAGCCAGCTGCGATCAATCGGCTGTGGTGTACGGTATTCCGACACCGGGCGAGCATAATGAAAGGAGGGGGTCGGCAGGCGGCGACACTTGTGGAACGTCGGTGTCTGTCTGTCTCGCTGGTAACACCTGGAGGTGTTCTATATCGCTGTAATAGCCCTGATGCTACGATAGCATCCCAATTATTGCGGGCTCCGTGGAGGGTGGGGAATTACGGTGACGAACATTTTTAACGCGCTTTTTATGGATTTAACCAAAAAATTAAGCAACCCAAGTCAGACCACTAAGGGAGGATACAATGTCTCGAAAGATACAAAGGCACCTAGCACCCAATTAGGGGCCGGAATGAAGAAGATGGGACCAGTGAGGGCGGGGGATTGTGGTTACCATAAGGTCACCACTACGTCCACCATCATCAGTGGTAAACAAGAAGGTAGGGTGGTCTCAAATCAGGCTGGACGACCTGCGCAACCTAGCGGTGTACCGGGGATCTCTGATATGCGACCCTCTGGGACGCAACTGGTTAGAACTGGACCTGCACAGGGGGCAAAGGAAGACCAAAGTCAGAACGAGGGCCAAAGTAGGAAAAGGCTCAGCGGCTGCAAGCGACGCCAGAAAGCACTGTTGCGAAAGCAACAGGGGCAGGAGGAAGCTGTAGTAAGTGAGAAAGTGAAGCGGGCTAGAGAGGTCAGCAACCTTAGCGAGGGGATGGTCAGTGCCAAAAAGCCTAAGACTCAAGGGTCTTATACCGGGGCACTGAACTCCATAAAACTGGCAATCGTTGCTGAAAATTTTCCGGCACGCACTTTGGGGGAGGAGGAATACGGGTTGATCCAAGGAGTACTTTGGGACAAAATGGAAGAAACACCGGATACCCAGTGGTAAATATGGTGGGAATGACGTATGGGGCCATCAACGTAATGTGTAATGGGGAGACCTCGGCGCATTGGCTTCGTGCTCTTGATGGGTTGACTGTCAAGGATACTAAGCTGAGAGTGCTGGATGTGAAGGATCTTCCAAAGCTAGTTAAGATGGCGTGGAAGTACCAGAACATCGGCTGCTTTGAGGTGCTTATCTTCAAGGTCTTGGAGGACCTGGAGAAACCGAAGGAGGAGGATGCGGGTGCGGGCTGTACAACTCATTCTAATGTGGGGGGTACATCGCAAAAAGAAGGAGAGGGGGCTGGAATAGGTCCAGAACCGTCGATGGTTGGGCAGGCTACTACCAGCAAGGAGACAGCCGTGCCACTGGAGGAAAGGGAGTCGGTGGTGTCTCCAGGGACGGAAGAAGGAACTTCTTCTATCCTGGGAGATGCCATGGATTTCCTTGAGTTAGGGATAACCTCGTCGTTGGGAAATATTTTACACACTACTGTAAAGCTGCTACGGCCCTTCTGGCTAAAGAATTAAAAAGTAACAAATACGACATTGCTTTAATTTAGGAACCGTACTTGTATAGGGAACAAATTAAAGGTATATTTGGACTTAGGGGAACAATCTTCTTTAAATTTGCCACTATATGAGGACATGCATTTATATCAGAGATGGTATAAATTCAATGCCCTTATATAACTTATATTACAGGGATTTAACAGCAGTTAAAATTGTAATGGGGGAGGTGAAAGGAAGTCTATAGCAGTAGCGGGTTTTGCTTACCTACCATATGAAGAAAAGGATCCAGTATCACTACAGCTACAGGATCTTGTGGAATATAGCAGCAGGCAGAGGATAGAACTCTTTGTAGGCTGCGATGCAAATGCACATAATGTTGTCTGGGGAAACTAGGACACCAACAGTAGAGGAGTAGACCTTCTGGACTATGTGGTAAGTTCAGCTTTACAAATTATTAATACAGGAAACAAACCAACTTTTCAAAATGCTAATAGAGCTGAGGTAATCGACTTGACGATGGCATACAATAAAGCATGTAAAAGCATTAGTAGATGGCATGTGTCTGATGAGATAACACTATCCGACCACAATTACATATGTTTTAGGTATAATACAGGAAATAAGGTAGAAAGGGTACATAGGAAGAACCCAAGAAATACTAATAGGACCCTATATAGGAAAGACCTAAAAGAAGATTTAGGCACTCCGAAATGTAAGCTAAATTCAGTAATAGATATTGAATTTGAAGCTAATCGACTGACGGAGGTACTAGCAAATGCGTGGTATGGTAACTGCTCGGAAACTTGTGTTCTGGTAAAAAAAGATACCCTGGTGGTTGTACGAAGTATCCCAATTAAGGGTAATGACGTGGAAAGCCTTTAATGAGGCGAAACGCAGTAAAAACTTTAATGAATATCATAGGCTCCTAACTAGCTACAACAAAGCAGTGAGGAAAGCAAAGAGAGAAGCGTGGAGGAGACATTGCGAAAATGTAAGTAACCTACCGGAAGGAATGAGGTTAACTAAAGCAATATCTACCACCAAGGCAATTCCATTAACATCTATTAGGAATGCTAACCGAATGCCAACGGAATCAGGAAAGGACACTTTACATGTAATGCTAAGCACCCACTTACCAGATTCGAGGCTCATAGTAGATTATGCGGATGACCCAATCAGTGAAGGAGAACAACAAAGAAAAACTTTCAAATTTGATTGGAATATTGCAAAAAAGGTGGTGACCGAAGAGAGAGTTAAATGGGAAAAGGAACTTTTGAACCTTTTAAGTCAACACTTGATGTGCGACTGTGATTCGTTAGCGAGTATACGCATGAATCTACTGGGAACGGCTTATCCAGAGCCAGGGGACAACAGATATCTTAAACCGCGGGATATCGTTAAGGTAACACATAGGTATAAGGCAGGGGAAAGCACAAAAGATCCCGATGGGTCGACGTGCAACGGCTTAGCTGACCCCATATGCGATTATAAGATTAAGAATATTTTATTAACAAAGAAAAGGCAATTAAAAAGATAAAGTGAATGGGGCAAAAATAACCAAGAAAACGAACTAGGGTAAAACAATCCATATTCTCGATCAGTACGATGGAAGGTATAATGTTAAGGCATGTCGTCTTGACATTATTTCATTAATTTCCAAAATACAGCCTATACAAATTTCTCGAATACTTGCTGTAATGGTTAAAATATGACATTTTTATAACAACCGGAATACTCTCACAGAAATTAATGTTATCTATTTAACGAAAATCAATAATAAAAAAAGACATTTATGATGTGAACCCAGAGCATGGTAATTCAATTAAAATACAATTATTACAATAAAGAGATATTATTTTTACTATAAACAGCGATCCCCTGGTACCAACATTATAATTAAGAATGATTTATTTAAGAGTTCTAGTTTTTGATAAAGTTATCTTTAAGTTATCGTTAAGCTAAAGTTATTTTAGAGATATAAACACTCAAATTTGAAAAATCAATTAAGAAATATTATGGTGTTCGTAAAAGTTCATAATCATATTTAAACACTGAAAACTAGAAGGTTTTAAACAAACATATCTTTTAATTCTCTTG